AACTTTCATTAACTGTCTTTTTCTCTTGTCATTGTTTGTCTTCCCATGTAAAGCATCTACGGGTATCTTGAAAAGCGCTATACAAGTGTTATGTATTATTATTATTATTATTATTATTATTATTAATAATTTTTATCTCAGCTGTAACTAAATTTAATTACTAAATAATGCAAGTCCATTGCTGAGTACAGAAAGAGGCAAGGTTTGAGTTATTTACATGGAAGGATTTATACTTTAAATAATTTTGCTTGAAATAGTTTGTAAGAGTTCCATTCTTAACTACCTGGAGACGAAGGTGCTGAGGGACAATGACAAAAGGGGATCAGAAGTGTGAGAGGTCAGAGGGCGACACTTACAAAGTGCCACTGAGCATTAATGTGCATTTTATCATCATTTTAACAGTTGGTGATTTGATTGACAGTGCGGGGGGGCACTGGCAAAAATAAATGGAGAATGCTTTTGAAAAACTGAAAAAAAAACTGGTTTGTACATTTAGACAACTGAACATATTCAGACAAACTGGACAAATCAAATTTTCCTTAAGGTGAAAGTGAAAGTTAGTGTGATTGATTGATTGATTGAGTCCACACCCTTCAAATATTTATTGACTGCTCTTATCTGTATTTAACCCATACTTAGTTTGAGGCGTGTCACTGATTGGAAATTCTTATAAATGTTTTCGTTGTTTTAGTCATGCTGAGAATTCAGCCAACTACATGGTAAATGTCTTTCTTCCTTGTTGAACTACACAAGATAAAAAGATAATGTCTCATTTCTTCTTTATTTGTCCGCCACTGCTCTTTCCTCTCTTTACTTCCTTCTCAGAAATTGAGAGTTTCACACACACAACTCTTCAGTATTTCTTCTCTGGCTGTGAACACTTCACCAAAGTCTCCTTTCTGGTTAACGTCTGGACCAACAGTGCAAACATACAATATGGGAAACACTGGCGCCATCAGGTGTCACTGCTGAGACTCAAACTCCCAAAAGAAAAGAAAGAATCAAGACGGGCAAAGAAACAAAGTGTGAGATTGCAACAGCACCTGATGCAACTCTGTAGTGACAGACTGATCAGTGGCTCCTGAAGAGTTCCTGGAAACCTGGACCTTTTCAAGATATTATTGTTTGCACTTTATGATTTTCTTTTCTTTTTATTTACTTTATCCATCCAATTAAACGCTCACTTTGTTTTTGGGGAAAATTTTATCTTTAGCAAGTTACTGGAGATCTTCTCCCAGTCTGTGGGGCCAACGCCCTGGACTTGGCTGTGTCCTGCTGGAGGAGCAGCTCCAGTAAAAAGGACATTGGGCAGATCGACAAACTGATCCGTAAAACTGGTCACGTGATCAGCTGGGAACTCGAGCTTAGAAATCATTATTACTATGTTATCCTCTTTATTATTATATATTGTGATGTGTGAGCTACTGTGTCCAAATAATTTCCCTTGTGAATCAATAATCCCCTCACTCTCCCCTTTAGTCCTCCAGACCCTCCTCCTCCCGCTCACTCTCCCCTTTAGTCCTCCAGACTCTTCCTCCCCCTCACTCTCCCCTTTAGTCCACCAGACCCCCCCCCCCACTCTCCCTTTTAGTCCTCCAGACCCTTCCTCCCCCTCACTCTCCCCTTTAGTCCTCCAGACCCCTTCCTCCCCTCACTCTCCCCTTAGTCCTCCAGACCCTCCTCCCCCTCACTCTCCCCTTTAGTCCTCCAGACCCTCCTCCCCCTCACTCTCCCTTTTAGTCCTCCAGACCCCTCCTCCCCCCTCACTCTCCCCTTTAGTCCTCCAGACCCCTCCTCCCCCCTCACTCTCCCCTTTAGTCCTCCAGACCCCTCCTCCTCCCGCTCACTCTCCCCTTTTAGTCCTCCAGACTCCCTTCCTCTCCCCCTCACTCTCCCCTTTAGTCCTCCAGACCCCTCCTCCCCCCTCACTCTCCCCTTTAGTCCTCCAGACCCCTCCTCCCCCTCACTCTCCCCTTTAGTCCTCCAGACCCCTCCTCCTCCCGCTCACTCTCCCCTTTAGTCCTCCAGACTCTTCCTCCCCCTCACTCTCCCTTTAGTCCTCCAGACCCCTCCTCCCCCCTCACTCTCCCCTTTTAGTCCTCCAGACCCCTCCCTCCCCCTCACTCTCCCCTTTAGTCCTCCAGACCCCTCTCCCCCTCTCTCTCCCTTTAGTCCTCCAGACCCCTCCTCCCCCCTCACTCTCCCCTTTAGTCCTCCAGACCCCTCTCCCCCCTCACTCTCCCCTTTTAGTCCTCCAGACCCTCCTCCCCCCTCACTCTCCCCTTTAGTCCTCCAGACCCCTCCTCCTCCCTCACTCTTCCCCTTTAGTCCTCCAGACCCCTCCTCCTCCCCCTCACTCTCCCCTTTAGTCCTCCAGACCCTCCTCCCCCTCACTCTCCCCTTTAGTCCTCCAGACCCCTCCTTCCCCCTCACTCTCCCCTTTAGTCCTCCAGACCCCTCCTCCTCCCGCTCACTCTCCCCTTTAGTCCTCCAGACTCTTCTCTCCCCCTCACTCTCCCCTTTAGTCCTCCAGACCTCCTCCAGACCCCTCCTCCCCCTCACTCTCCCCTTTAGTCCTCCAGACCCCTCCTCCCCCCTCACTCTCCCCTTTTAGTCCTCCAGACTCCTCCTCCCCCTCACTCTCCCCTTTTAGTCCTCCAGAACCCCTCCTTCCCCCTCACTCTCCCTTTTAGTCCTCCAGACCACTCCTCCCCCCTCACTCTCCCCTTTAGTCCTCCAGACCCTCCTCCCCCCCTCACTCTCCCTTTAGTCCTCCAGACCCCCTCCTCCCCCTCACTCTCCCCTTTTAGTCCTCCAGACCCTTCCTCCCCCCTCACTCTCCCCTTTAGTCCTCCAGACCCCTCCTCCCCCTCACTCTCCCCTTTAGTCTCCCAGACCCCTCCTCCCCCTCACTCTCCCCTTTAGTCCTCCAGACCCTTCCTCCCCCTCACTCTCCCCTTTAGTCCTCCAGACCCCTCCTCCCCCCTCACTCTCCCCTTTAGTCCTCCAGACCCCTCCTCCCCCCTCACTCTCCCCTTTAGTCCTCCAGACCCTTCCTCCCCCCTCACTCTCCCCTTTAGTCCTCCAGACCCCTCCTCCCCCCTCACTGTCCCCTTTAGTCTTCCAGACCCTTTTTAAAAAAATTTTTTTTGTCATTTTGAGGGAAGTAATACCAAGCACATTAATAACAAAACAAAAGACTAATACAAATACAAAAAAGTGTGCATTTGCATTTTAAATTCAAATTTACATTTACATATTTTCTGTTTGTTTATATATTTTTTTTCTGTTTATTAATCTTTTTTTTTTTTTTTTTTTTTTGACTATCCATATGTAGGGTTTTAATTATTTTCTTTTATTAGCTGCTTGTCTTTACAGTCTTCATTTTTAAAGGTGCACTAAATAAACTCTTCTGTGGCTGAACGTTGAGGTTTAGTCAATGATCCTGTACTGCAGAAATAAAACAGCAGGGGGCAGTAACGCGCCACACACGGTCCAGAGCCAAAGCAGAGGAAAGTGAGCGACAGAGAGCAGAGATTCTTTAGCGGAGGGAGATTACAACCTTATTATACAAAAAAAAAATAAAAAAAAATCGATGTTGGAAAGAATAAGTTTTGTCTTTTAAGCATGTAATGATGATCCCTCTGTTTTAAATGAGAGATTTTGAATATTCACAGATGTAGTAACATTTGGCTTTTTGTGTGAATCTGACCAGAAATGTGTAAATAAATAAACAGCATAAAAATCTGAATTTGTCTTTGTGTATATTAGTGTTGTCGTGATAATAAATTTCTAACTCCTGGTTTAGTCCTGGTTTAGAACCGATTTAGTCCTGGTTTAACCTGTTGTTGGCTCTGGTTTGGACCTACTGCTAGTATTAGTAAGACTATAATTTAGTCCTGGTTTAGTCCTAGTGTAGAACAGATTTAATCTTAGTTTAGAACTGATTTAGTCCGGTTTAGTTTAGTCCTGGTTTAGTCCAAGTTAAGAACTCATTTAGTCCTGGTTTAGAAACAATTTAGTCCTGGTTTAGTCCTACTTTAGAACTGGTTTAGTCCTGGTTTAGTCCTTGTTTAGAACCAGTTTTGTCCGGGTTTAGAACTTATTTAGTCCTGGTTTAGTCCTAGTTTAGAACAGATTTAGTCCTGGTTTAGTCCTAGTGTAGACCTTATTTAGTCCTGGTTTAGTCCTAGTTTAGAAATAATTTTGTCCTGGTTTAGAATTTATTTAGTCCTGGTTTAGTCCTACTGTAGACCTTATTTAGACCTGGTTTAGTCCCAGTTTAGTCCTAGTTTAGAACTGATTTAGTCCCAGTTTAGAGCTGGTCCTAGGTCCTAGTTTAGAACGATTTAGTCCTGGTTTAATCCTAGTTTAGAGCAGATTTAGTCTTGGTTTTGTTCTAATTTAGAAATAATTTAGTCCTGGTTTAGTCCTAGTGTAGAAATAATTTAATCCTGGTTTAGTTCTAGTGTAGACCTGATTTAGTACGGGTTTAGTCCTAGTTTAGAACCAGTTTAGTCCTGGTTTAGTCCTAGTTAAGAAATTATTTAATCCTGGTTTAGTCCTAGTGTAGAACTGATTTAGTCCTGGTTCAGTCCTAGTCCTAGTGTAGACCTGATTTAATCCTAGTTTAGAACCGGTTTAGTCCTGGTTTAGAACCAATTTAGTCCTAGTTAAGAAATTATTTAATCCTGGTTTAGTCCTAGTTTAAAACTGGTTTAGTCCTGGTTTAGAACCGGTTTAGTCCTGGTTTAGTTCTAGTGTAGACCCGATTTAGTCCTGGTTTAGTCCTAGTGTAGACCTTATTTAGTCCTGGTTTAGTCCTAGTGTAGACCTTATTTAGTCCTGGTTTAGTCCTGATTTAGTCCCAAAACTAAATAAACACGTTCTTGATTTTTAAATTTAAATCCGCCGATGGTCTTTCCCGCTTTCCGATTGGCTCCGGGCTCGTCACGTGACCGGGGGGTGGGGCTTACGCTGGAGCAGGAGGAGATGCCCGTGTGTTGTGTGTTTTGTCGGCGATCTCTTCCGGTCAAACAGTCTCTGATGAAGCAGCAGCGGCAGCAGCAGCAGCAGCGACACGGGAACCGGACCGCTCTCGTTTCTGTGCGGGTTCTGTTCTGGTTCTGCTGCTGAAAAAAACCCAAACCCGCGCTTTTAATCCCGGAAAACTGCGGGGGGGAAAAGAACGCGACGGATCGGGCAGCGGCGAGACGGGAAAAGGAGCGGAAAACGTGGGACGCCGTGGCCGAAAAAGGCAGCTCCAATGCGGACTGGCTCGTAAGGTAAGATCGATATCGTTCACTTACGGAGTTGGTATCGATCCGGGGCTCGTCTGCGGTTCGTGGGGGGGTTACTGCGCGTGCTAAATGTAGGTCATTGTGTCTGTGGGCCGAGCCGAACCGCGCCGAGTCGAGCCGAGCGCAGCCGAAGGGAGTGTGCTGCATTCAGGGCCCGCGGGGAGAGAGAGGGACTGGCTCCTGGACACGGATCAATACAGAAGGGATCGGATTTATGGAAATACTCAGGGTCATCACAGTCCTGGTTTAGTCCTGGTTTAGTCCTGGTTTAGTCCTGGTTTAGTCCTGGTTTAGTCCTGGTTTAGTCCTGGTTTTACCTGTTGTTGGCTCTGGGTTGGATCTACTGTTAGTATTATTAAGGCTATAATTTAGTCCTGGTTTAGTTCTAATTTAGGACAGACTTAGTCCTGGCTTAGTCCTAGTGTAGAACAGATTTAGTCCTGGTTTAGTCCTGATTTAGTCCTAGTTTAGTCCTGGTTTGACCTGTTGTTGCTCTGGTTTGGACCTGGTGCTAGTATTTTTAAGGCTATAATTTAGTCCTGATTTAGTTCTAATTTAGAACTAGTTTAGTCCCTTTAGAACAGATTTAGTCCTGGTTTAGTCCTAGTTTAGAACAATTTAATCCTGGTTTACTTCTAATTTACAACTGATGTCCTCCTGATTAGTCTTGGTTTAGAACTGATTTAGTCCTAATTTAGAACTGATTTAGTTCTGGTTTAGTCCTAATCTAGAACTGATTTAGTGGTGGTTTAGTTCTAGTGTAGAACTGATTTAGTCCAGATTTAGTCCTAGTTTAGACTTACTTTAGAACTGATTTAGTCCTAGTTTTGTCCATGTGTAGAACTAGTTTAGTCTTAGTTTAGAACCGATTTAGTCTCGATTTAGTCCTGGTTTAGTCCTAGTGTAGAACAGATTGAGTCCTGGTTTAGTCCTGGTTTAGTCCTGGTTTAGTCCTGGTTTTGGTCCTGGTTTAGTCCTGGTTTAGTCCTGGTTTTACCTGTTGTTGGCTCTGGGTTGGATCTACTGTTAGTATTATTAAGGCTATAATTTAGTCCTGGTTTAGTTCTAATTTAGGACAGACTTAGTCCTGGTTTAGTCCTAGTGTAGAACAGATTTAGTCCTGGTTTAGTCCTGATTTAGTCCTGGTTTAGTCCTAGTTTAGTCCTGGTTTGACCTGTTGTTGCTCTGGTTTGGACCTGGTGCTAGTATTATTAAGGCTATAATTTAGTCCTGATTTAGTTCTAATTTAGAACTAGTTTAGTCCCTTTAGAACAGATTTAGTCCTGGTTTAGTCCTAGTTTAGAACAATTTAATCCTGGTTTACTTCTAATTTACAACTGATGTCCTCCTGATTTAGTCCTGGTTTAGAACTGATTTAGTCCTAATCTAGAACTGATTTAGTGGTGGTTTAGTTCTAGTGTAGAACTGATTTAGTCCAGATTTAGTCCTAGTTTAGACTTACTTTAGAACTGATTTAGTCCTAGTTTTGTCCATGTGTAGAACTAGTTTAGTCTTAGTTTAGAACCTGGATTTAGTCTCTGGTTTATTTAGTCCTGGTTTAGTCCTAGTGTAGAACAGATTGTGTCCTGGTTTAGTCCTGGTTTAGTCCTGGTTTAGTCCTAGTGTAGAACAGATTTAGTCCTGGTTTAGTCCTGGTTTGATCTGTTGTTGCTCTGGTTTTAACCTGCTGCTAGTATTATTAAGGCTATAATTTAGTCCTGGTTCAGTTCTATTTTAGAACAGATTTAGTCCTGGTTTAGTCCTAGTTTAGAATTGGTTTAGTTTTAGTGTAGACCTGATTTTGTCCTAGTTTAGTCCTAGTTTAGAACAATTTAGGCCTGGTGTACTTCTAATTTCATCCTGATTTTGTCCTGGTTTAGAACTGATTTAGTTCTGGTTTAGTCCTGGTTTAGTCCTAGTGTAGAACTGATTTCCTTCTGGATTAGAACCAATTTAGTCTGGATTTAGTTCTGATTTAGTTCTAGGTTAGAATTGGTTTAGTGTTAGCGTAGTCCTGGTTTAGTCTTAGTTTAGAACCGAGTTAGTCTTTATTTAGTCCTAGTTTAGAATTGATTTAGTCCTGATTTAGTCCTAGTTTAGAACTGCTTTTGTCCTGGTTCAGTCCTAGTGTAGACCTGATTTAGTCCTGGTTTAGACCATAATTTAGTTCTGCTTTGGTCCTAGTTTAAAACTGGTTTAGTCCTGGTTTAGTCCTGCTGCAGAACAGATTTAGTCCTGTTTTAGTCCTAGTGTAGACCTGATTTAGTCCTGGTTTAGAACACATTTAGTCCTAATTTAGGCCTGATTTAGTCCTGTTTTAGACCTAGTTTAGAACTGGTTTAGACTTAGTTTAGAACAGATTTAGTCCTGGTTTGCTCCACTAGTTTGGTCCAACCTGCACTGTAAATATTAAAGGTTCTATATTACGCAGAATTGAGTATTGTGAACCTTTCTCCTCAAAAACAGACCTGGAGTTGTGTTTTTTTTGGAGTAATTTTTATTTTATTATTAGTCTGTCTACATTTCCAAAGCTCAAAATGCTCTGTTCCACTTTGTGATGTGTGACGTTTCAGTTAACAACACTTTTTAACCTTTTAGTCCAGTAGAAATTGGCAAATAAATGAAACAAAACACAGCTCCAGGTCTGTTTGTGATGAGGAAACGGCATTATAACGTAGAACAGAAAATAATGTAATATGAAACCTTCAATTTCGGCGTGTGCTGAGCAAATGTCTGAAGCAGCAAAAACGCAAAAGCAAACACAGACAAGACAGAAACGGTGAATTAAAGTCGTCCGCCTCTCTTTAAATGACCGCTGATGTCATTAGATTATGTTTTGGTTTGGGCGCGGCGTCATTAAGAAGTTGCTGATACGATACAAACCTCGATACAGTGCACTTTTGGTTTCGATACGATATATTTAAAATAAAGAATCAAGTCTAAATCATATCTGTGGTACAAAAAGTCTTTGTTAAACCTCTTCATATGAAAGACAAACATTTTAATTATGTCCGTGACCAACGTGACCCGACCCAGAGTCCTGCACCGGTCCATTTTTAGAGATCCGCACCCGCCCGGACCTGTTAACATTCTACCTGTTAATACACGGACCCAGGACGGACCCAGGACGGACCCAGGACTGACCCAGGACTGACCCAGGACTGACCCAGGACTGACCCAGGACCGACCCAGGACGGACCCAGGACGGACCCAGGACAGGACTAACCCAGGACTAAAACAGGACAGACCCAGGACAGACCCAGGACGGACCCAGGACGGACCCAGGACGGACCCAGGACGGACCCAGGAGGACCCAGGACGGACCCAGGACGGACCCAGGACGGACCCAGGACCCAGGACTGACCCAGAATTAACCAAGGACTAACCCGGGACTGTCCCAGGATTAACCCAGGACAGACCCAGGACTGACCCAGGACTGACCCAGGACTGACCCAGGACTGACCCAGGACTGACCCAGGACTGACCCATGATAAAACAGGACTAACCCAGGATTAACCAAGGACTGATCCAGGACAAACCCAGGATTAACCTAGTACTAACCCAGGACTGACCCAGGACTAACTCAGTAACCCAGGACTAACCCAGGTGCGCCCACGTAGACTGTCGGGTGACCACAGGCAAAAGGACTGCCTCTTTGAACAGAATATTTTTGTTAAACCGTAAATAATAAGGCTGATCACACTCTGAAAACTCACATTTAGATATTTATTCTGACTCAAAGCCCCGCTGTGCACTACCGTACAATTATCGAGAACAAAACGTGCAGAAGCTTGACTACATTGTTGACAGTTTTCCAAGTGTTTTTACTGCTTCTGTTTTCACTGCTACTGCTGATGTTCCTGCTGTTTATTAAAGGTGCATTGCGTAACTTTTCTGTCAAACGCTTTTCCCCATGGAGATGTTATTGCTTTGTCAGGAATGTTTCATAGTATGGCATGAAACCTTTCTATTTTCATGGAGACTAAACCAGACCAAGTTACAGGTCAGATCTGCGGAGAGGTGACCCCGCTCATACTCAGAATATCTGTTTTTCTAGTTACCGTATTTTTTGGACTATAAGGCGCACTTAAAAAACTTTAATGTTCTCAAAAATCGACAGTGCGCCTTATGTATTAATTCTGGTTGTGTTTACTGACCTTGAACTGATTTTCTGTGGTACACGGCGCTCAAAAATCTGTCAAAATATTTTAGTGCGACATTGGTAAACTAGGAATCCGCACTGCTTGATGGATTGTGGGAGCATTAAGGCGACCGTAGTCAGGAGCCTCGTGGAGTAAAGAGCGAAGTATTGTTCTGCGTCGACTCACCGCAAGCTGCTGCCGTTGCCTTGTCGCCGTCGTTTTTGATTTAAGGGTTTGTGTCGAGGTCTGTGCGCCGCAAAGTAATTCACTGCCACAGTGCTAGGAGACGAGGATTTAAACCTGACGTTCGTGTAAACCAGGGGTCGGCAACCTTAAATACTCAGAGATATTTGGATCATCTCCCACAGAAAAGAAAACACCCAGAGCCACAAAACCCCTTTTGACTCTAAAATGAGGAGAAGACTGCAGATCATTTATTTACCTGTGGCTCTGTATAAAAGACTCTAGTGTGTTGCATTTATGAAATCAAAGAAATGCTACAGAGAATATTTGTTCATTCATTTACCGTATTTTCTGGGCTTTTAGTCGCTCTGGATTATAAGACGTACTGTCATTAAATGGTCTATTTTTGAACTTTTTTCACAAATAAACCGCGTGGGACTTTAAAGGAAACACAACAGTGTGATGGGTGAGTGGTTTTGTTTGTTTGTTCGTTCACGGTGACTCTGGGCTTTGTTCAGTTGTGGCGTGTAGGGAGGGTGTGTCTGGGACCAACGGATTGTCGGCGTGTTCGCAGTGACTCAGTTGTTCAGTCGTGTCTAGAAGTGGCACGTCCAGCTCGCTTTTTCGGTTCATTCCTTTGTTCCGTTCCTCGTCGGCGTGGAGTGATGAGTGTGTCTGTGGGTGTGTTTCGCTGTGCGGTCGCTGTCTGCTCCGTGTGTGTTTGCGTGTTCTGTGGGTGGTGCGACTTTTTTAGTAGTTTACTGAAGTCGTGCTGGGACACCCGAGTGGATTCGTGTATGGGGCGCTCTGGCTTGCGGCGAGTGCGGTCTTTTTTTGATGGGATTAGAGGCTTAAGAGCGCGTCTAATAGCCCGGAAAATACGGTATACAGTCTCTGCGTTTGACCTGCAGATTTATAATCTCTGAAAAGTTTAACATGAACCATCTACAAGAACAGACTCACCATCAGCAGCACATCCTCTGCCACAGAAAGAACACTCATATTCCACTGAGTCGTGTCCTTTAGTCCGACAGAAGCTGAACTGTATCAGCGCACAAGGAAAGAGCTGTTTTTTTTCAGCGCTTATAGTTTATGCAAATCAGTCATGTGGTTTGAAGTTTCGTTTCTGTAAAACGTAAACAAATGTGCACAAAGCTGCATTAAACACATTATTACTCAATGTATATTTGAGTCGTCCTCGTAGGAAATAAAAAAACAAACTTAAATGATCCACCCACATTCACATTCATAATCCACATTCACCAAGACAGAGAGGAAACACCGGGCGAATTACACCACGATCTGCCGATGGATCGTGGACGCCTGGACTAAGGATCAGACTCAAGTGTCTTCCTTTTGTTTCACTTAATGCTCCTTGGAGTAATCAGGTTCACCGTATAGTCAGAAAAATATGGCATTTTTGAGCTATAAAACCACCTGTAATTGAATAAATGTAAAGTAGTGCTGTTGTTTGTTTTGGTGCAGCAATAACTAACAAAAGGAGGATACTACATAGACCATGATCCTTTGCTCTTTTTAGTAATTTTAAAAGGAAAAAGAAGCACAATCACAGTTTTGTTGGCCATCAAAAAAATATCTTAATAAATATGTTATAGGGAGATTTGGATATTGTTTCATCCCTTCTGTTTATGTCCTTAAAACGTGATAGTAAAGCTGAAGAGAGAAATACTAAAATTCAATCTGCTGTGATTTTGGAGGCAGCATTTTCCAAAATATTTCGCAATAATCCTTTTCATAACTCGGAGTAGACTTTTGGGTTCAGAAATGTACAAGTGGTTTTGATTAGGCTTTCCTTGGCACACCCTGGTCTGGCTTATGTCATTGCCCCAGTAGACTTTTGTCCTTCTACTATTACTCTATTGCGTAACTTTTCTGGTGGACGGTCCGTCAGATGCTTTTCTCTACGGAGATGTTGATGTTGTCACCTTTTTAAAGCTTCACTATGTAGCTTTTCTGGTGGTGAATCTGCTGTTTGCTTGTCTTTGCTGGATATTATAGCTTATGTCCCACAGAATAGCTTTAAATAGAGCTGGGTATCATTAAGAAGTTGCTGATACGATACATATCTCCATACGTAGGCCATGATACGGTACATACCTCGATACGTAGGCCACGATACGGTACATACCTCGATACGTAGGCCACGATACATACCTCGATACGTAGGCCACGATACGGTACATACCTCGATACGTAGGCCACGATACATATCTCGATACGTAGGTCACGATACATACCTCGATACGTAGGCCACGATATGAGGCATACCGCGATACGTAGGCCACGATACGGTACATACCTCGATACGTAGGCCATGATACATATCTCGATACGTAGGTCACGATACATATCTCGCTACGTAGGCCACGATACGAGACATACCTCAATATGTAGGCCACGATACGATACATACCTCGATACGTAGGCCACGATATGAGGCATACCGCGATATGTAGGCCACGATATGAGGCATACCGCGATATGTAGGCCACGATATGAGGCATACCGCGATACGTAGGCCACGATACGGTACATATCTCGATACGTAGGCCATGATACATATCTCGATACGTAGGTCACGATACATATCTCGATACGTAGGCCACGATACGATACATACCGCGATATGTAGGCCACGATATGAGGCATACCGCGATATGTAGGCCACGATATGAGGCATACCGCGATACGTAGGCCACGATACGAAACATACTGCGATACGTAGGCCACGATATGATACATATCTCGATACGTAGGCCACGATATGAGACATACCTCGATACATAGGCCATGATACGATGCATACCTCGATACGATGCATACCTCGATACGTAGGCCACAATACGAAACATTACACACATAAATTACTGCTTAAACTTTCTTTTTTGAGATATAATGTTAAATTAGGACACTTTAGGTAATAGGTAGAAACAGAAAGAGATTATTATTATTATTATTATTTTTATTGATGTTGTATTTCATTGACCTCCAATAGCTATCAGCTTTTCTTCCTGGAGACCTATGTTGCATGTTTTTTGGGTTGATGTGGGAAACCGGAGTGCACGGAGGAAACTCACCAAGACACGGGGAGAACATGTGAACTGTAAATGTTTTTTTTGTTAATAAAAAAACAGTAACTTTGAACGATACAATATTTTTATTAACCCACACAAAGAAAACAGTCATGTGACCTCCTTAATGCTTTGGAGTTTAGAAAAAATAGTTGTTTAACATTACAAATTAGACGATAAGAAAGGGATTATGCAGTATTTTTTATGCCAGCCTCGTTTTCATGTAGTCCATTTTGTGACATGCATAGGTCTCAACTACAGTGTTTTATTTGACTTGGTTCCATATCCAGAAATATTAGTCCTGACTGTGTTAAGAATCTGGCAAAGTTTCATATTTGTTACATAAAAGTGAAATATTTTGGTCCTTAACAGCTCCACTATATTGTTACATCTTCACTTAACACTGTCTCTTGTGTTTCTGTAGATGTCTAATGTTATGATGGAAGCCACCACCATCCTCCCCATCCTCAAGAAGAAGCTGGCCTTCCTCTCAGGTACTGCACGCGCCCACATCTCGTCAACATTAAAATTGTAACGTACATAACGGTAACTGGAGACGTATTTTGTACCCAGGGGGTAAGGACCGGCGCAGCGGGCTCATCCTCACCATCCCCCTGTGCTCCGACCAGACCAGCATGGAGGAGCTCAGTGCCACGCTCGACTACCTGCTCAGCATACCCAGGTAACACTCAGCAGCATACCCGGGTAACACTCAGCAGCATACCCGGGTAACACTCAGCAGCATACCCGGGTAACACTCAGCAGCATACCCGGGTAACACTCAGCAGCATACCCGGGTAACACTCAGCAGCATACCCGGGTAACACTCAGCAGCATACCCGGGTAACACTCAGCAGCATACCCGGGTAACACTCAGCAGCATACCCGGTAACACTCAGTGTACCCATGTAAAACTTGACATACCCTGGTAACACTGCCCATACCCGAGTAACATTGCCCATACCTAGGGAACACTCAGGGTACCCAGGTAACACTCAGTAACACTCTGCATACCCGGGTAACACTCGGCGTGCCCGGGTAACACTCGGCGTGCCCGGGTAACACTCGGCGTACCCGGGTAACACTCAGTAATTCTCAGCGTACCCGGGTAACACTCAGCATGCCCGGGTAGCACTCAACATACCCATGTATCACTCAGTAACACTCAGCATACGCAAGTAACATTCAACATACCCAGGTAACACTCAGTAACACTGCATGCCCGGGTAACACTCAGCGTACCCAGGTAATACTCAGCATGCTCGGGTAACCCTCGGGCGGGACGCGAGATGCATTTACATGAGAATAAAACTGGTAGAAGCCGTTTAATTCAATGGGAAACACAACTTTTTGTCTTTTTTCCATTTGCTGGCAGATTTTGTGAGTCTGAACAGACATTGTCGTCATGGTGTTGGACCATAGAAGTAAACAGATTGTTTTTTACTCATGTTAAAATAAAGCAGACTGCGTTAGCCCTCAGCTACTGTGAGCAGTCTGGGAGTTTTATTCAGATTTGAGCAGCTGGACCATGTCACTTTATGTTTCGTGTCTGTTTTTGACAGAATCTCCTAAAGTCTGTTTCTTCTTGTAATTGATCAGTTGGGAATAGAAAAGCTCTTCTACATTTAAAGGAATATTTTGTTTACCCCCTCGGAGATGTTTCCACCGTCCGTCAGTGGGCGTTTCCGCATAAATCTACTGCAGTATTATTACATCTGCACAATATGAGAAAAATATGTCAAATTCAAACTCTTTTCTTTTGCGGTAATGATATTATTTCAATATTTTAAAGGTGCATTCTGTAACTTTTCTGGTGGAGGGTTCGTCAAATACTTTTCTCCATGGAGATGTTATTGCTTTGTCTGGAATGTTTCACAGTACGGCATTAAACCTTTTTATCTTCATGGAGACCAAATCAGACCAGGTCAGATCTGTGGAGAGGCGACCCTGCTCACAGTCAGAATGTTGTTTTTCTAGGTATTTTTGAGCTTTAAAACCTGCACCTGTAATTTAATGAATGTAAAGTAGAGCTGTTTAATGTCACACTGTGGAACATTTTGGGCAATAACATCTCCATGGAGAAAAGCATTTGATGGACCCTCAGTCCTGGTCTCAATCCTGGTCGGGTACTGGTCTCAATCTTGGGCTGGTCCCGGTCTCAATCTTGGTCTCAGTCCTGGTCTCAGTCCCGGGCAGGGTCTGGTTCCGGTCTAGGTCCCGGTCTGGTCCTGGTCTCAGTCCCAGTCTCAGTCGTGGTCTCACTCCTGGTCCTGGTCTCAGGCCTGGTCTCAGTTCTGGTCTGGTCCCGGTCTCAATCTTGGTCCCGGTCTCAGGCTTGGTCTCAGTCCCGGTCTCAGTCCTTGGTCTGGTCCCGATTAGTCCTGATCCCCTGACAGTCCTGGTTCAGTCCTGGTTCAGTCCTGGTTTAGTCCTGGTTTAGTCCTGGTTTAGCTTAGACCTGGTTCTGGTTCCTGGTTCCTGGTTTCCTGGTTCTGGTCCTGGTTCTGTCCTGGTTTAGACCTGGTTTAGACCTGGTTTAGACCTGGTTCAGACCTGGTTCAGACCTGGTTTAGACCTGGTTCAGTCGCTGAACTGGTTCAACGTTAGGTTTTCTTATTTTTGGTTTTACTTTGAACAAGGAATGAACGAATGATACACGGATTCACCAGAAAAGTTACACAATGAAACTTTAAATCATATCAGATTAATATGACAAGTTTGTGGATCCAGTTCAGAAACAGAAAATCTCCCGTAGAGTTATAACGGCACCTGCCCTGGCTCCATCTGAAATCCTCATCAAATTCAAAGCAATTTTATTTAAATATTTTATAACAAGACCAGATAATAAAAAGAAAAAGACGAAAATTAGGATCCATCCATTTGAGAAAAAATTTAAACTGCCCTATTTTGTTCTGCTCGTTTTGATTTTGTGTGAACATGTCTTTGCTTGACTCCACAAACAACTTTTCTCAGAGGAGCTGTTCCAAAAAAAAAACTTCTGTGATTTGGTGACTCAGTGTTTATTTTAAAGTTCTTCGCAATATCCGAGGATTTCCAAAAGAAGGTCGAGAGCTGAAAATCTTTGAAAATAACATGATCTGAAATGCACGGGATTCTTGGACTAGTTTATTTATCTGTTTGTTTTTGATTGGTTAAAGAAATCTGTTTACATCGAGTTTGTGCCTAGAGAAAAAATAATATACATATAATAAATACATACTACATTATAAACAACAGACTTATATTAACTCACACATGTTCATTACAGAGTTTTAAAAACATATCTGGTTACTTATGAGCCCGGTCAAGCAGAAGTAAACAACAAGGCCAAAAATTCAAGTTAATTCATCTGATATAAAAATGTATTGAACAGATACATATGTACTCTAGTTTATGAAACTGTTGACCTTTTTTTTGTACCATTTTTGGTTCTAAATTTCCATACGTTTTAAACAGACCATGTATGAAACATGGAACAAAAATGTTTTCCCAAATTTCAAAGACCTGAAAATCATGTAAATAAATGGATGTATTTCATCATATCTTGTGTTATTCCTATCTTTGAACTGTTGATGAAGGTACATGATTTAAAAAAAAAAAAAAGTATTTAAAATGATAAAAATTTGCTTGGAAGGACTGACATATTTTATAGAAATAGTTTCCTTTCATTTTGAAGTAATATTAAAGTATTCAGAAGAAAAAAGCGACAAATGATGTAAAATCCTGCACCTTCTACTTGTTTGAACAATTTTCCCTCCGTTACTTTTCCCTCCGTTACCATGACCTTTCTTAATAAAAAATCTCTTGAGTCAAAAAGTAAGAGGTTTTTCAACCTAATCTTGTACCATATGGTAGAAAACTATATGAAGCAAATATTCAAACCAGTTTGTTAAGGATATGTAAGTGAGAACCAAGAGTTATCACTGTTTGGATTTATTGCCCAAAAAGTGCTGCATATTTCATTCCCTCTGTTACCAACAGAGGGAATAAGTTTTTAAATTTTTTGTCAACAACTTGAAAGAATATCACAGGTTTAACTTGACCCTGTTGGAGTGTAACTCTTTCCTACATTCTGATACTTTACTTATTTCAATAGTTCCTCTAGTTTCTGAATAAGAGACATTTGAATGTCAAAAATCTGCCCCTGTTTCCCTCCGTTACCACTTGACTGGACACATATGTACATTGATCATGAAACTTAACAAATATTTACATTATAGCAAAATAATTCACACACTTTTTGGCATCAGTTTTGGCAATTTAGACAATTTTGACCCATTTTATTTTGGTTTTTGTACTGTATTATGTTTTACAATTATTATTTTATCTGTTTACTTTTTTTAAATTATTACATCTTGCAGCGCTGTCACTCACTCACCCTTATACCACGAAAGCAAAAGATCTTTATAATTTATTTTGAAGCTGTGGCCGCGTCTCATTTCTCTTTCCTCACGTCCTTCTTCTCGATCCTCCGTTTTTCAGCTGTCAATCAAATGTTTCATATGAAGTGTTGTCCCAAAGAAAACCACAGAATGAAGGAGTAAACCTGAGGGAGGCTTCAGGAGCAGACGCCAGAGAAAAAAATCAAACTTTATTTGTCTCTGTGAGGAGTTTAGATCCCGGGACAGTCCCAGTTTTGAACCTGTGTCCCCAGTCCCAGCAAATTTATCCAAAAGCAGTGATTTGTCCCAGTTTTATACAAGAATTGTCCCAGGTGTTTCTATTTTTGACCAGTTTGAGCTAAACCGGGACTACATCAGGTCTAAACCAGAACTAAAACAGGACTATTACAATTTTTGACTAATTTAATCCCTACCAGCAGTAAAAAGGAGCATACATCGTCATTTGTTTAGATAAAATGCAGAAAAAAAAAAACGTGTTTGCAAATGACCATAAAGAGAAAAAATAAATAAATAATGCAGTGTCACAAATTTCAAATGAGCAATTAATTGAATTTTGATCATGATTTTGATTTGTGTGTCAAATCTCCAAACTCATATCATCGAGTTAAAATGATAACTTGACTGATTATCTTTTGGGATTTTTTAAATATAAATAAGTAAATTTATTTGATTTTTTAAAAAATATACAGATTGTAGAACAGCTGGATATATAGTTTATTTTGGACACATTTATGTTTTTTTTTTTGCTTTATTTCATGTTCAAAGTTTATTTCTTTTTATTTTGTTTTATACAATCGTAAAATTGTTCATACTTGTATCCTATATTTATTTTCAGTTTGAAAGTTTTGTGTAAATTATCAGTAACAAAGTGTTTTTTGAGAGAGAAGTGCTGAATAAATGCATAAAATAGTTTATAAAATAGTTTAAATAATCGTGATTTCAATATTGACCAAAATAATCGTGATAATGTTTTTTTTTCCATAATTGAGCAGATCTAGTCACATGTCCCTCAGCTCATAACTGAAACGAGAATCCACAATGTTACGCACCTTTTTCACAATTTTATTTATACCAAACATCTCAACCCGGGTTTTTCCCCGTTTTGAATTTTGACGTTTTAACCGTAAAATTGTGTGTGTTTTTTTTCAGCGAGAAGTGCAAAGCTCGGGGCTTCACCGTGATCGTGGACGGACGCAGGTCTCAGTGGAACATCGTCAAGACCGTGGTGCTCATGCTGCAGGTAACCCACGGCAACGGGGCGCGGGATCGTTTTCCTACGCGTCTGTTTTGCATTTTTCATTTATCAGACCTTTGTTTTTGCATTCACCTCCGCTCTTGTTTATTACTGACACCTATTTTGTGTTTACGAACGGGACGAACATTTCCATATGACGAAGCAGGGCAAAAGTCGGATGTTAAATGTCGTATGGAGGATTTTTTTTACTTTCAAGTTGTCAGTGAAAGTTCAAAATGGCGTGATAGAGATGCAGCAGCCTTGCAATTAAAATCCATCATGGTGGGACCAGATAAACATGAGCTGATAGATAACGAAGCTACCACGTTTCACACGAAGGATCTAAAGACTGATGCACTGGTCGCTAAATTACTTCTGGACTAGGGACGGGCATTTGATTAAATTTTCTTAATCGATCGTCAGAAGAATTAACCATCGATTATCGATTAATCATTAACGTTTTTATATTAAAATGATCATCATTATTATTACTATCTGCACTAATCTGCATAAATAAATTCAACTTTACGACAAATAAACCGTAACGACTCTAGAGCCACATCAGCTGTTTGACATTATAATGTGTTTAATTCAGTTTTGTTCAAATCTCACAGAAACAAAACTTAAAACCGCATCACTAATTTGCATGAATTAAGCGAAGATAAAACTGCAGCTCTTGTGTCGCTGATGTGGTTCAACTTCTGTCGGATTAAAAGACATGACTCAGGTGAATACAGGTCAGTGTGACCAGATTTGTGTTTGTCAAAACCAGGACAGCGTACGGGGGGAGGGGGGCGGGGCCTCGTCATCCACATTGAGCGACTCTCACCTGGAAAAACTTTTTCCCTCTGGACACAGAAACATATGTGCTGCTTTATACACTGTGCACATGGACTCACACTTGTCCCAACGCAACGGAAAGTGTGGAATTTCTTGTACAAATCATCGTTAAATCCACATTTGTGCTTCGGTTCGTTACAGACTGACCCACTGTTTGTGTCTCGCTCCTTCTGATGCAGAGACACATGTACACACCTGTTTGGTCACGATACACACAGCAACCTACATTCGGTTTGTCGATTAAAATGAACATAATCCATGAAATTCTTAATGATCAATTATCGATTAATCGACTAATCATGCCCATCCCTATTCTGGACAGCTAACTTCAACAGCAGTTTTGAACGCACACCAGCTGTAAACAAGCTTGATTTCTTGCCTAAGGAGGAGACAGGAGGAGACGTTTCTACTTAATGAGCTGAAAACCGACAAACAGTCACTGTATTTGACTTTCCTTGGAAAATCCTCTCTGCCAGTGTTTCCCAAAGACTGGGTTGCAACCCCCAGGTGGGTCGCAAGAGATTTTTTTTGGGTCACCTTGTCACGATCTGCATGTAGATTGTAGATTTTGTTCCAGTATTGCTGGTTCAGTTGAATGCTGAAAAGAAAAAGAAATGTTCTACATTTAATGTCCAAACAGGCGACTTCTGGATCCTTTTATTGCTGCTTCACTGACTGTTTTTCATTATTTAAAACTTGAGTAACTCTAATTGTTCAGAGACACGATCACTCAGTCAACAATAAATCATCCTCATTAATGTTCAGTAACTTGGGTTGCAAAAACTATGGATCCACAGAAGAAAGTTTGGGAAACATGGCTCTGTACAACCTTTAACTTAGAGTGATTTGGTCTGTAGACTAGAAATGACACGATATCCAAATTTCTCAGTGCGATATGTTGACAATATGCATCTCACGGTCCGATATTGATTGCTATATTTTGAATTGTGAATATATTACTTTTTTTCTTTAAAGTTGCCTTGACAAGCCTTTGGTTCTGTCATAAACCAGAGAGTTAAGATTTAAAAGTGCTTAATATATGGAAGATAAGTTGTTTCATTAGATTTTTCATTTTAAATACGCAGATTTCCTCCTGAAAACGCTTGTCTAAACGCGGAATAAAAAGGTGAAGACGCGACGCCACTTTTGCGCCTTCTGTTCAGACCCTCATCATATAAACATAGACTTATTCATAAACTAATTCCTACAAAGGTCATAACAAAAGTACTAAATGTTTTTCTATTAATTTGAGTGGTGGCAGGGGGCGCCATCAGAAATCTTGCCCAGAGATCTTGCCAGAACAGCTCTGAAACACAGATAAAAAAAAAAAAAGTATCTGATTATTTTTCTAATTAAAAACAAATCTTTTTTTATTTCTGTAGAACGTGATCCCGGCGGAGGTGTCCCTGGTCTGTGTGGTCAAACCCGACGAGTTCTGGGACAAGAAGGTCACTCACTTCTGCTTCTGGAAGGAGAAGGACCGTCTGGGCTTTGAGGTGAGTCTCATATTAAAACACAAACTCTGAACTCTGAAGGTCGTATATGACACACAGTTTGCTGCTGTGAGCTTTAACTCTTTCCCCCTGGCCTTGTTTCCTTAATGACGTGTTTTGACTCCTCCGCTGTGTCACTAAAGACGTGATTTGACGACCATTAGAAACGACTCGGTTTTTCACATGTAAACAGACGCTGCGACAGGTGGGGGCCACTATAACCCACATCTTTTTTTTCCAAGATGCGATGTTTGACAGAATTGCTGCAGAAACAAAGGTTTATGAGGAAGCTCTGCGCACGAGAAAGTAGCCAAGATGTCAAATACTGAACACCCACTGACGAGGAAGAGATGTATTATTATATTATTATATTATAATAAGATAAATGAGTTGAATAAGTTAAATGGAAAAAACAAATTAGGTCCACACAGGTGAACAACAGGTAAAAACAGGTGCACACTTGGCTATACTGCATCTGGTGATATGAAATCTGTTTAAATACTTTGACAAATACATATATATATATTTTTTATGAATATAGTACTCAGAACCTGCATATATCAGATGCTGAATGTAGTTTTTTGTTTTCGATTTTGCACCTGACCAGGTAAACTCTCATTTTCATTGAGCTGTTATAAACCTGTAAATGAGTTGAATCACATTTAAACATCCAGAAATGAAGAGTTCAGAGTCTGAGGTTTCCAGAGATACAAATATGTCCAGTGTAGTGAAGGTGACTTTTAAAATGTAATCCCCTACAGATTACAGATTACATATCCCAAAATGTAGTTTGTAACATAATCCATTAAATTACTTAAAGTGAGTAACGTAATCTGAATACTTTGGATTACTTGATTTGCTGTAGAGAAACAAAGACGAGGAAATCGTAACATAAGAAGTTTTATCTTTCAAAAGAAAATAAAAAGTCCAGACTTTACTGAACCAAATTAAAAATATTATTGATAGAAGAAAAGGAGACACGTCCACACAGCAGGATTTAGTCCTGTTAAATCCTGTTTGAGACATAATTTAGTCCTGGTTTAGTCCTGGTTTAGTCCTGGTTTAGATCTAGTTTTAGACCTGGTTTTAGACCTGGTTTTAGACCTGGTTTTAGACCTGGTTTTAGACCTGGTTTTAGACCTGGTTTAGACCTGGTTTAGACCTGGTTTAGACCTGGTTTTAGACCTGGTTTTAGACCTGGTTTAGACCTGGTTTTTAGACCTGGTTTTTAGATTTTGGTTTTAGACCTGGTTTTAGACCTGGTTTTAGACCTGGTTTAGACCTGGTTTTAGACCTGGTTTAGACCTGGTTTAGACCTGCTTTAGACCTGCTTTAGACCTGGTTTAGACCTGGTTTTAGATCTGGTTTTTGCCCTGGTTTTAGACCTGGTTTAGACCTGGTTTAGACCTGATTTTGCCCTGGTTTTTGCCCTGGTTTTAGACCTGGTTTAGACCTGGATTTAGACCTGATTTTAGACCTGATTTTAGACCTGGTTTAGACCTGGGTTTAGACCTGGTTTTAGACCTGGTTTTAGACCTGGTTTTGACCTGGATTTAGACCTGGTTTAGACCTGGTTTAGACCTGAATTTCCCCTGGTTTTTGCCCTGGTTTTAGACCTGGTTTTAGACCTGGTTTAGACCTGATTTAGACCTGATTTTAGACCTGGTTTGGACCTGGATTTAGACCTGGTTTGGACCTGGGTTTAGACCTGGTTTGGTGTCCGGTAATGAGTGAAATTACAGAGAGAGAAAAAAAAAAAAGGGATTTAGCCCAAAATGTGAAAACAGGAAAATCCCTCTGTGTAATCCATTTATTTCAACAAAGTAACTGTAATCCAATTACCACTCACTGTAACAGTAACTGTAACTGAATACAGTTACTCATCATTTGTACTCTGATTACGTAACTCTGGTCCATGTAATCTGTTACTCCCCAACACTGCATATGTCTGTGTTTCAATTCAGTTCATGAGGGTGAAAATCATTTATAATCGTGGAAGTCTGTTTTCTTTTATGCTTTTATGCTCTATGTTTAGCCCTGGTCATGTATGTGTGGGCTGTTCCTAGTCGGCGTCCAACGGGGAAAGAGTTAAGTCATGCTCTAATATTATTACCGCCTCAAAAACAGACCTGGAGTTGTATTTTGTTTCATTCACACGTGTTTGAGAAACTCTTTATTATTAGTCTGTCTGCATCTCCAAAACTCAAAACGCTTCATGTAGTGGTAGTTTTCATTTTCACAGCTACTTTTTTACATTTTATTCAGACAATTCTGGAGCTGAAATCATCCAAATGATTCCAGTGAAGGTGTTTGGAGCTTGAAAACACAGTGGGGTTTGTGCGTTAAACGTGTGAATGAAACAAAACACAACTCCAGGTTTGTTTGTGATGAGGAAACAAGACTATAACAGATCAGAAAATAGCGTCATATGGGCCCTTTAAGTCTAGTCTTTCCCCTTTATCTGTGTTTTTATTATTTGAAATGATTGATTTTATTATTATTAATTGAAATGTTGCTCAGAGCCAGTAGCAGCAGCGGCAGAGCACCGGTTTATCAGGCGGTGAGAAAAAACCCAACACCACGAGATCACAAGACCTGTCAGTGTTAGACCTGGAGGAGAGACAGTGATTATAAACTAGAGTTATTTATTCGCACTATAAGTCGCAGCAGACAAAAAACTGCCTATTGAAGAAGAAAAAAACATATATAAGTCGCACTTTTTGGGTAATTTATTTATTTTTTTTATAAAATCAGAGACCAGGAACTGACATTTCCTCAAGTTGTAGTAAAAACAATAGAAGAGAGAACAACAGACTGTTAACGTCACATATGAACAGTTCTTCAGATAAACTATAACATAAACAACAGAACAGAACAAGTTTAACCGAACTCTCCATCTCACTCCAAATCACTAAATCCATTCAATTCTTCATCCTCGGTGTCACTTCTGTTGTTTTTTTTTTTTTTTTTTTTTTGAGGGAAATGTTGAATAAATGCATCGTGTAACTAAAAAATAATAATAAAGAATAATCGTGATTTCAATTTTGACCAAAATAATCGTGATAATGATTTTTTTCCCATGATCGAGCAGCTCTAGTATAACACAGTAAAACAGAGGGAACTACATAGAACATGATCAGACTACATGACAAAATAACTCTCATTCAGCTCTTTTAAATCTAAATTCTTTCTATTCTGACCATAATGATTCACACTAAGATCGTGACAAGACATTAAAAAAGGAAAAACTTGCATTTCTACAACTATATAAATACTCATATATAAATATACCATGAGTTTTTAAGTACAATTTCGTTTAAAATTCATAGAAATGGCAAAAATCTAAGCAGTATTTGGTGCTTTGGTTTAAAGACTTGAAATGACTTGAAGCTCAAAGCAGACGACTTGGACTTGGACTTGGACTTACGGGCCAGTGACTCGAGACTTGACTTGGACTTACGGACCAGTGACTCGAGACTCGACTTGGACTCGACTTGGACTTACGGGCCACTGACTCGAGACTCGACTTGGACTTGACTTGGACTTACGAACCAGTGACTCGAGACTCGACTTGGATTTGACTTGGACTTACGGGCCAGTGACTCGAGACTTGACTTGGACTCGACTTGGACTTACGGGCCAGTGACTCGAGACTCTACTTGGACTCGACTTGGACTTACGGGCCACTGACTCGAGACTCGACTTGGACTTGACTTGGACTTACGGACCAGTGACTCCAGACTCGACTTGGACTTGACTTGGACTTACGGGCCAGTGACTCGAGACTCGACTTGGACTCGCCCGTATTTGACTTGGACTTGACTTGATATACTTACTTGAATATACTTATTTATTTGAGACTCAGACTTAGAGATTTTATTTTAGACTTATAAAACAAAGACTTGGTCCCACCTTTGGCAGACACATTATCAGACAGCAGTAAAGTAGGCGGCCTCTAGTGGTGACCGGTGAGATTACAACGGGGGCGGGTCGGTCAGCGTGACTGTGGGCGTCGGCTTTAAAGTCGCTCTTGAATTCCAGAATCCTCAGTCACGGGGCAGTTGTTGAGCGGACAGTGTTTGGTTTGTGGAGCAGCTGTCTCCGAGCAGCTACACACCTCATGAGTCACATCAGGCCGGAATCTCCCACAGCTGTGAGCCACACACACACACACACACACACACACACTCGCCTCACACACACACACACACACACTCGCCTCACACACACACACTCTCCTCACACACTCCCCTTCATTCAATCATTCTGTTTATTTTAAGGCCGTGTTTAGATTCAATTTGTGCTCACTTTAAGAAGACGTATAGATTCTGTCTGTGCTCTATAACAGTGGACCTTTTTAGACCTGGTTTAGTCCTCTTTTAGACTCTGTTTAGACCCTGTTTAGACCTGGTTTAGACCTGGGTTAGTCCTGGTTTTAGTTATGCTTTAGAGGCGCCATGTGGCTTGGTTAAGTCCTGGCCAAATCCTGTTTTAGTCGTGTTTTCGACCTTTTTTACACCTGGTTTAGACCTGGTTTAGTCCTAGTTTAGACCTGGGTTTTAGACCTGGTTTAGTCCTGGTTTAGTCCTGGTTTAGTCCTGGTTTAGACCTGTTTTAATCCTGTTTTAGACCTGTTTTAGACCTGTTTTAGTCCTGGTTTAGTCCTGTTTTAGACCTGGTTTAGACCTGGTTTAGTCCCGGTTTAGTCCTGTTTTAGTCCTAGTTTAGACTGGTTTAGACTGGTTTAGACCTGGTTTAGACCTGGTTTAGACCTGGTTTTAGACCTGTTTTAGTCCTGATTTTAGTCCTATTTTAGACCTGGTTTAGACCTGGTTTAGTCCTGGTTTAGTTCTGTTGTAGACCTGGTTTAGTCCTGATTTTAGTCCTAGTTTAGACCTGTTTTAGACCTGTTTTAGACCTGGTTTTAGTCCGGGTTTAGACCTGGGTTTAGACCTGGGTTTAGACCTGGGTTTAGTCCTAGTTTAGACCTGTTTTAGACCTGGTTTAGTCCGGGTTTAGACCTGGTTTAGTCCTGGTTTAGACCTGGGTTTAGTCCTGGTTTTAGACCTGGTTTTAGACCTGGTTTAGACCTGGTTTAGTCCTGGTTTAGACCTGGTTTAGACCTGGTTTAGACCTGGTTTAGTCCTGGTTTAGACCTGGTTTTAGACCTGGTTTTAGACCTGGTTTAGACCTGGTTTAGACGTTCTGGATGTTCTGGATGTTCTGGATGTTCTGGATGTTCTGGATGTTCTGGATGTTCTGCAGCGTCTCACAGTTGTCTACTTCTCCAAACCTCAACATGCTCTGTTCCACCTTGTGATGTCATGTAGTTGTAGTTTTGTTATTAACTTAACGCTGCATTTTACCTTTAGTTCAGCAGAGATCGTCAATTCTCGAGCTGAAATCATCCAGATGATTCTAGTGAAGGTGTGTGAAGTTTAAAAACACAGTGGAGCACTTACTGTATAACCACATGACATCACAAGGTGGGACAGTGTTTGTTTTCAGTTTGAGAGAAGAGCTCGGCCTAAATCTGCAGCGTTTGTGTGTTTAAAAAATGTGTGAAAGAAACAAAACATCATAAAACAGAATAATATTTGATACACAAACCAGAACCGTCCTTTTCATATTCGCTGTTTTTATTGATTGATTGATTGATTATATTTAATTGACCTCCGCTAGTCAGCTGTTCTTCCCGGAGACCTGCGTAGCGTGTTTTGGGTTGGCGTCGTTTGTTACGGAGTGCCCTGAACGCACCACACGCCCAGGCTGCGGTAGAAAAGGCCCATTGTTTAAACGGTGTCGCAATCGCCGGTCCAGTGCCGCTTCACTGACCAGCAGGAAAATCTGTAAAAGTCGACACGAAGTCAGTTCAGTTCAGAGTTTCTGTTGGAGGATTTAATTTTGTCTGTTTTTATATATCTTCCTAAAAATATATAAATAAAATATAAATGGTAATAATAAATTGCTTAAAGTCGCAAAAAAAAAAAAAGAAAAATGCAATAGACTGGTGTCAAATAAGACATAATTATATAAATGTATTATAATTGTTGTACAGTTGTAGGGAGTATTATCTGTTACATAAGGGTGACTTGTTGCACAGTTGTAGGGAGTATTATCCGTCACATAAAGGTGACTTGTTGTACAGTTGTAGGGAGTATTTATCTGTCACATAAGGGTGAGTTGTTGTACAGTTGTAGGGAATATTATCTGTTCCATAAAGGTGACTTGTACAGTTGTAGGGAGTATTATCTGTCACATAAGGGTGAGTTGTTGTACGGTTGTAGGGAGTATTATCTGTTACATAAACGTGAGTTGTTGTACAGTTGTAGGGAGTATTATCTGTTACATAAAGGCGAGTTGTTGTACAGTTGTAGGGAGTATTATCTGTAACATAAGGGTGAGTTGTTGTACAGTTGTAGGGAGTATTATCTGTTACATAAGGGTGACTTGTACAGTTGTAGGGAGTATTATCTGTTACATAAAGGTGACTTGTACAGTTGTAGGGAGTATTATCATACATACGAGTTCCAGTTAGTATTATTATTATCTTTATTATGAGTCTGTCTACATCTCCAAAGCTCAAAATGCTCCGTTCCACTTTGTGATGTCAGGAAGTTGTAGTTTTCGAGTTAAAAGCTCATTTTTACTTTTTAGTTCAGTCGAGAAGAACCGTGAATGAAACAAAACACGACTCCAGGTCCGTTTGCGACGAGGAAAAATAATTTTGTTAGGCTCCACCGCTGCTAAAATCAAACCTCTCCCACATTGAATCCTCCCCGTAGCACGTCGTATCTGATCCTTCCCAAAAAACTACAAATCCCAGGTCTCTCCTCCCGTCTCCATGGAAACCGCGGTAAGCCCAGGTCCAAATGTGGGTCAGGGCGGGCGTCGTCAGGCCGACCATCTGCTTCCATAGGAGTAGATCCTGGCGCGTTTCGGAGCTCCGGAGAGCGGCTCGGGTTGCGGCGTTGTCTCCGGGGGCAACGGAAACGTGAAGGTTCAGGCGGCGCGATGAAAGAGGAGACTATTATGGGATGGAGAATGGAAACTAATGCGGGAATAAATCAGGCCCTAACGACCGAGCGGTGTCGGATAACCCGGAAAGATCGTCTCTCCGCTGGCACTGGTACACACAAGCATACGCACAAACATACACACATACATAGAAACATACATAGAAACATACACACACACAAACATATACACATACAAACATACATATAAACATGCATACAAACATACACACACACAAACATACATACAAACATACATACACACAAACATACATATAAACATGCATACAAACATACACACACACAAACATATACACAACATACAAACATACATACAAACATGCATACAAACATACACAACACAAACATACATACACACAAACATACACACTTACATAGAAACATACATAGAAACATACACACACACAAACACATACACATACAAACATACACATATAACATGCATACAAACATACACACACACACACACAAACATACATACACACAAACATACATACAAACATACATACAAACATACACACACACACAAACATACATACAAACATACACACAAACATACATACAAACATACATACACACAAACATATACACATACAAACATACATCACACACAAACATATACACATACAAACATACATACAAACATACATATAAACATGCATACAAACATACACACACACAAACATACATACACACAAACATACACACACAAACATACATACAAACATACGCACAAACATACACACACACGCACAAATATACACACAAACATACGCACAAACATACGCACAAACATACACAAACATACATACAACATATACACACAAACATAACACAAACATACACACATACATACACACGCACACATATACACACATACATACGCACAAACATACGCACAAACATACGCACAAACATACACACACATACATACACACATACGCACAAACATACACACATACATACACACACACACGCACAAACATACGCACAAACATACACACATACATACACACACACAAACATATACAGACACACGAACACATGCACAAACACACACACACAAACATACATACATACATTCAAACATACATACATACGCATACACACATACACACAAACATGCACACACACACAAACATACATACATACATTCAAACATACATACATACGCATACACACAATCGTATAATTTAGCAAAACTGACTTGAGTGAGTTTTTACCTCCTCAAAAACAGACCTGGACTTTTGTTTTGTTTCATTCACACGTGTTTGAGTAAAGGGCCGTTCACACCAAAGCGTCAAAAAAAGCCTTGATGCTTCTATTTGAACACCTTTACATTTGAGTTGAGATGCCCTCGACACGTCTTTGACGCCGTGGACGAACAGGAGAAAAATACTTGACACGCGTCCGTTGCCCTGGAAACAAGAGCCCGGTCCCGCTCTTTTCCCGAAACAATGTCAGACCAGACTGAGAGAGACTTTAGTGTTTTTATGACATAAAACATCAGCGGAGGAGATCGGGTCGACAACTGGGGCATATATATATTTATACTCCGCTAATGACACTGGATCAGTCCCGGTCTAGTCCCGGTCTAGTCCTGGTCTGGTCCCGGTCTAGTCCAGGTTTAGTCTCTGTCTATTCGCGGTCTAGTCCTTGTTTAGTCCTGGTCTAGTCCTGGTTTATTCCTGGTCCGGTCCTGCTGTAGTCCTCGCGATCCACTCGGTGATTGTGGTGTATATATTTATTTTCTGCTCATGTTTGTGGTTCTCGTTCTGATTCTCGGGTTTATCTTCCTGATAATAACGTCGCTGCGTCACTGGATACTCGTCCCTGATTGGTTGACGCGGCGCGTCTGATGCAAAAAGTTCAGCATTTTCAACTTCTTGCGCTGACGCCGCATCTAGACCGCCGACGGCAAAATGCTCAAGACAGATTCGTGCCACGCTGATTCCGAAGACACGCTGCAAAAACGCAGGACGCTCTAGTCGCGCATCCACATCGACTTTACGTAGAAACTGGATGCTTTAACGCCTTGGTGTGAACGGCCCTTAAAGCTCAAAAAATATATTACCAGATTATCGTTCAGTTCCACAATTCACTTTTTGACTCACGTTTGAAAACTTTTAAAATCTGTTCTTTCTATCAATAAGAAAGGAATATTGAAAACATTTCCCAACCGGCACTTTCCAACATTCCAACGTCTCGGAAATCATTTAGAATCTGCAGAAAACCTGACAAATGTGTTTTGAATTAAAAGTGGAAAAGCGTCCGTACGGCTGCTCTGCTCCTTCGATCTTCGCTTCTTGAATTGTTCGCTGTTCTCTCCGAGCTGGACCTCCGTTTACAAAAGCTGCTTGTGCCTAATTTAGCGTTTCACTGGTGAGACTGGACTCAGCTGTGACCCAGTTTGAGCCTCTGACAAAGATCCTGCACAGAAACGTATGCGGCTGGTTTGAAATGGACAGAATATAATGACTTTAAAGCTGCACTGTGTCACTTTTCTGGTGGAGGGTGCGTCAAATGCTTTTCTCCATTGCTTTGTCTGGGATGTTTCACAGTATAGCCTCAAACCTGTCTATATTATTCATGGAGACCAAACCAGACCAAGTTACAGGTCAGATCTGTGGAGAGGTGACCCCGCTCACAGTCAGAAAGTTTGTTTTCTAGGTATTTTTGAGGGTTCGGCAATTTCTGAACCATCTGCGGCCTAAAATATTCACCCAATCATCAACTTTCAGCTAATGAAAAGCCAAATTTGTGTGTCTCAAAAAAATGAGTTAACGCCAGGTCTTGCTCTTCTTCCTGTCAGGTGATCCTGGTTTCGGCCAACAAGCTGACGCGATACATCGAGCCCTCTCAGCTCACGGACGACTTCGGAGGAACGCTGGACTATGACCACAGCGACTGGCTCGGCAAAAGACTGGTACACTTTTCACGCACTTTATATTGTGTAACCTTTCCGCTCGATCGTCTGTAAAATGTTTTTCCCAGTGCTGTTGCTTTGTCTGAAATGTTTCACAGTGCGACATTAAACCTTTCTATCTTCATGGAAACCAAACCAGACCAAGTTACAGGTCAAATCTGTGGAGAGTTAACCCCGCTCACAGTCAGTACGCCTGTTTTTTGAGGTATTTTTGAGCTATAAAACCACCTGTGATTGAATAAATGTAAAGTAGAGCTGTTTAATGTCATACTGTGGAACATTCCAGGTAAGGCTGTGCAATTAATTGAATTTTGATCGTGATAATTTTGTTTTATACATCGCAAAACTGCTCTAAGCTTCATAGTTTTAGCCTATATTTATTTTCAATTTGAAAGTTTTGCGGAAATTATCAAGTGTTTTTTTTAGAGAGCGAGAAATGCTGAGTAAATGCATTGTGTAACTAAAAAAATAATAATTTAAACAATTGTGATTTTTATTTTTTTCCGTAATCGAGCAGCTCTAATTCCAGGCAGAACAATGACATTTCCATAGAAACAGGCAAGTGACAGTCCCAACTGGGGATGGGCATGATCCTCCATCCATCATTTTCGTCCGCTTATCCCGGGTCGCGGGGGGAGCAGCCTAAGCAGGGACTCCCAGACTTCCTTCACCCCAGACACGTCCTCCAGCTCCTCCGGGGGACCCCGAGGCGTTCCCAGGCCAGCCGAGAGACATAGTCCCTCCAGCGTGTCCTGGGTCTTCCCCGGGGCCTCCTCCCGGCGGGACATGCCCGGAACACCTCCCGAGGGAGGCGCCCAGGAGGCATCCGGAACAGATGCCCGAGCCACCTCAACTGGCTCCTCTCGACGTGGAGGAGCAGCGGCTCTACTCCGAGCTCCTCCCGTGTGACTGAGCTCCTCACCCTGTCTCTAAGGGAGCGCCCAGCCACCCTGCGGAGGAAACTCATTTCGAGCGCTTGTATCCGCGATCTCGTCCTTTCGGTCACTACCCAGAGCTCATGACCATAGGTGAGAGTAGGAACGAAGACCGACCGGTAAATCGAGAGCTTCGCCTTTCGACTCAGCTCCTCTTCACCACAACGGTCCGATACAGCGACCGCATCACTGCCGAAGCTGCACCGATCCACCTGTCAATCTCACGTTCCGTCCTTCCCTCACTCGTGAACAAGACCTCGAGATACTTGAAACTCCTCCACTTGAGGCAAAGACTCCCCACCCACCCGGAGAGGGCAAGCCACCTTTTTCCGGTCGAGAACCATGGCCTCGGACTTGGAAGAGCTGATCTTCATCCCAGCCGCTTCACACTCGGCTGCAAACCGCCCAGTGCACATTGCAGGTCCTGGTTCGATGAAGCCAACAGGACAACATCGTCCGCAAACGGCAGAGATGAAATCCTGTGGTCCCCAAACCGGACCCCTCCGGCCCCTGACTGCACCTAGAAATTCTGTCCATAAATACAATGAACAGAACCGGTGACAAAGGGCAGCCCTGGCGGAGTCCAACATGCACCGGGAACAGGTCTGACTTACTGCCGGCAATGCGAACACAGCTCCTGCTCCGGTCATACAGGGACCGGACAGCCCTTAGCAAAGGGCCCCGGACCCATACTCCCAGAGCACCCCCCACAGGACGCCACGAGGGACACGGTCGAATGCCTTCTCCAGATCCACAAAACACATGTGGACTGGTTGGGCAAACTCCATGAACCCTCGAGCACCCTATGGAGAGTGTAGAGCTGGTCCAGTGTTCCACGGCCAGGACGAAAACCACACTGCTCCTCCTGAATCCGAGGTTCGACTATCGGCCGGATTCTCCTCTCCAGTACCCTGGCATAGACCTTACCGGGAAGGCTGAGAAGTGTGATCCCCCTATAGTTGGAACCCACCCTCCGGTCCCCCTTCTTATACAGAGGGACACCACCCGGTTTGCCAGTCCAGAGGTACTGTCCCCGACCGCCACGCGATGTTGAAGAGGCGTGTCAGCCAAGACAGCCCCACAACATCCAGAGACTTCAGGTACTCAGGACGGATCTCATCCAACCCGGAGCCTTGCCACCAAGGAGCTTGCCAACCACCTCAGTGACTTCGGCCAGGGTGATGGATGAGTCCGCCTCTGAGTCCCCAGCCTCCGCTCCTCCTCGGAGGACGTGACGGTGGGATTGAGGAGATCCTCAAAGTATTCCTTCCACCGCCGGACAACGTCCCCAGTCGAGGTCAACAGCTCTCCCCCCGCACTGTAAACAGTGTTGGTGAAGAACTGCTTTCCCCTCCTGAGGCGCCGGACGGTTTGCCAGAATCTCTTTGAGGCCGTCCGATAGTCCTTCTCCATGGCCTCCCGAACTCCTCCAGCTCCGAGTTTTTGCCTCCGCGACCACACGGGCTGCAGCACGCTTGGCCCGCCGGTACCCGTCAGCTGCCTCAGGAGTCCCCCGAGCCAGCAAGGCCCGATAGGACTCCTTCTTCAGCTTGACAGCATCCCTTACTTCCGGTGTCCACCACCGGGTTCTGGAGTTGCCGCCGCGACAGGCACCACAGACCTTACGCCCACAGCTCCGAGCAGCTGCATTGACAATAGAGGCCGAGAATGAAGCCCACTCGGACTCCATATCTCCAGCCTCCCCCGGAATCCGGGAGAAGTCCTCCCGGAGGTGCGAGTTGAAGGTCCCTCTGACAGAGGGCTCCGCCAGACGTTCCCAACAGACCCTCACTACACGCTTGGGCCTGCCAGGTCTTTCCGGCTTCCTCCTCCGCCAGCGAACCCAACTCACGACCAGGTGGTGATCAGTTGACAGCTCAGCCCTCTCTTCACCCGAGTGTCCAAGACACGCGGCCGGAGATCAGATGACACGACGACAAAGTCGATCATCGACCTCCGGCCTAGGGTGTCCTGGTGCCACGTGCACTTATGGACACCCTTGTGCTCGAACATGGTGTTTGTTATGGACAAACTGTGACTAGCACAGAAGTCCAATAACAAAACACCACTCGGGTTCAGATCGGGGAGGCCGTTCCTCCCAATCACCCCTCTCCAAGTGTCACTGTCGTTGCCCACGTGGGCGTTGAAGTCCCCCAGGAGAACAACGGAGTCCCCGGTCGGTGCACTGTCTAGTACCCCTCCCAAGGATCCAAGAAGGCCGGGTACTCAGCACTGCTGTTCGGCCGTAGGCCGACACCACAGTGAGAGACCTGTCCCCGACCGAAGGCGCAGGGACGCGACCCTCTCGTTCACCGGGGTGAACTCCAACACACACAGCGGCTGAGCTGTGGGGCAATGAGCAGGCCACACCAGCCCGCCCGCGCTCCCGCGGCCAACGCCAGAGAAATGGAGAGTCCAGCCCCTCTCAAGGAGTTGGGTTCCAGAGCCCAAAACTGTGCGTGGAGGTGAGGGCCGACTATATCTAGTCGGTTAACGCTCAACCTCCCGCACAAGCTCAGGCTCCTTCCCCCCAGCGAGGTGACATTCCATGTCCCCAGAGCTAGTCTCCATGTCCGGAGATCCGGTCGCCGAGGCCCCCGCCGTCGACTGCTGCCAGATCTCTCTGCACCGGCCCCATATGGATCCTCCTGCGGTGGTGGGCCCACGTGAGGACGGCCCCACGTCGCTCCTTCGGGCTGAGCCGGCCGAGCCCCGTGGGGGGAGGCTCGGCCACCAGGCGCTCGCTGACCGAGCACCCACCCCAGGCCTGGCTCCAGGGTGAGGCCCCGGTGACGCCAATCCGGGCGACGTAACTGGCCTTGCTGGTGTACTCATCATAGGGGCTTCTGAACCGTTCTTCGTCTGACCCGTCCCCCCGGACCTGTTTGCCTTGGTGACCCTACCAGGGGCATGAAGCCCCCGACAACATAGCTCCCGGGATCATTCGGGCACTCAAACCCCTCCACCACGATAAGGTGACGGTTCAAGGAGGGCATGATTAGTCGACTAATCGATAATTGATCATTAAGAATTTCGTCGATTACGTTCATTTCTAATCGACAAACCGAATGTACGTCTGGGCTCTGGCACCTCCTTGGAGACACTGTTCCACTCAGTAAGTTTGTTTAATAAAATTTCATCGAATGCCCATCCCTAGTCCCAACCAAAAAGTTTCACAAAGCACCTTTTGACTGGGAATAATGTTGGATCTGTGACTCATAATATAAAATTACACGAGTGTTTTTGCTTCTCAGGTTTTTGAGAAGTTCACCAAAGAGTCCACCTCGCTCCTGGACGAGCTGTCAATCATCAACGACGCCGACAAGAGCAGCGCACAGGACAAAGACAAGTACGGACACTCTGCATCTTATCACAGCATTTAATACAGAACTCCCACCGGGCTGTTGGGACCAGAAAATTATAAAAATCTCACTTAGATCTAGTGATGTGTGAGTGGTTTTGTTTGTTTGTTTCACGGTGACTCTGGGCTTTGTTCAGTTGTGGCGTGTAGGGAGGGTGCTGTCTGGGACCAACTGGATTGTCGGCGTGTTCGCAGTGACTCAGTTGTTCAGTCGTGTCCAGAAGCGGCACGTCGCGCTCGCTTTTTCCGGTTCGTTCCTCCGTTCCGTTCCTCGTCGGCGTGGAGTGATGAGTGTGTCTGTGTGTTTGCGTGTTCTGCGGGTGGTGCGGCTTTGTAGTTTACTGAAGTCGTGCTGGGACACCCGAGTGGATTCGTGTATGGGGCGCTCTGGATTGTGACGCGCGGTCGTTTTTTGATGGGGTTAGACCAGGGGTGGGCAAACTTTTTGGCTCGCGGGCCACATAGGGTCCTAAAATTTGACTGAAGGGCCGGACAGAAGACAGGACATAACACGTTACGAGCTCAGCTTCATTACATTCATATTCACGCGTTTATGTAGGACTTCGGACGAGCATTACCGCTTCAACTTTGCTGCGAAGATTCAGAACACATAAAAGTGTATAGATCTTTCCCACTGCACAACACAGGTGAATGAATATCGTGAGCTCACCGTTTTCGAGTCTGACTGTAAAATAGCTCGAAAACAAAGCTCACGCCACACAGCCACACAAACACCTGCGAGTGCTGTAAAACCAAACTCTATGATGTTCTGTGCATTGATATTTACAACATAGAGTCTAAAGGTTTCCTCTGTTTGACTTTTACCAACTTCACTCATGGTCTGAATAACTCCTGTAAGAACACTTTCCCATAAAGCATTGCGGCCAACATAATACACCACACCTAAGTGTATATATAGTGCGCCATCTACTGGGAAACGCCGGAAATGCATGACAAATAAAACATCAACAAGGTTTATTATTATAATTTATTCCAGTTCGGCGGGCCGGATTGAAAGGTTTAAAGGGCCACATATGACCCCCGGGCCGTAGTTTGCCCACCCCTGATCTGTGAAAACATGAACCATCTCCAACACGACACACAGAACAGACTCACTACCATCATCATCCCTCTGTCACAGAAAGAACACTCATATTCCACTGAGTCATGTCCTTTTGTCCGACAGAACCTGAAAAACATCAGCGACACAAGGAAAGAACTGTTTTTATCAGGCTTATAGTTTATGCAAATGAGTCATGTGGTTTTAAAGGGATAGTTCAGGTTGACATGAATCTGTATATTATTCCTGTCAGCAGTGTGGTGCATCCACACTGACTTTACCTTCGAAAGCGTCCGGTGAGCCGAGATCCTGGCCGGTTTTGGTGCTGAGGAAAGTAGTTCGGCAAGTTGGCTGGGGACAGTCTAATAAAGTGTTTTTCTTCTCAAAACAATTTGTGTTAAAAAGAGTGATACATTTGCACCACAAAACCTCCGTCCACTAAAAAGTCAGACCTCATTATCACTTGGCGCTATTTTCTCTCCGTACGTATCACTGCGCGCCTGTTTCACTTTGTTAACTGCTCGGAATGTCAGCGACAACATGTCTGACTACGACACCGATGATGAAGAAACTGATTTTAGCACAGAGCCAATGGGATATCTTTTTGAACCCGAATATACCAATGCCGAAATTTGCCAGAGAGAGTTAGACGAAATTAAAAAAGAGAGAGAAGAGGCGAACATTCCGAGCAGTTAACAAAGTGAAACAGGCGCGGCTGTTACCTGGCGGCCGCGCGCAGTGATACGAACGGAGAGAAAATAGCGCCAAGCGATAATGAGGTCTGACTTTTTAGAGGACGGAGGTTTTGTGGTGCAAATGTATCACTCTTTTTAACACATGTTGTTTTGAGAAGAAAAATGCTTTATTAGACTGTCCCCAGCCAACTTGCCGAACTACTTTCCTCAGCACCAAAACCAACCAGGATCTTGGCTCACCGGGAGGCCATACAGATTCATGTCTAAAAACCTGAACTATCCCTTTAAGTTTAGTTTGTGTAAAACATAAACAAAAGTGTCAAATCTGCATTAAACACATTATAATGTCAAACGGGCTGATGTGGCTCTAAAGTCGTTATGTTTATATGATGTAAAGCTGAGTTTGTTTATGCAGATTAGTGACAGGAATAATAACGATGATCATTTTAATATAAAAACGTTAATGATGAATCGAAAATTCGATCGTTAATTCTCTCGACCCATTAAGAAAATTTAATTGAATCCCCATCCCTAGTTCCTAGTTTCCATTCTTTTACTGCTTTTTGGAACTGTAAGAGATGTAACTCACCAACACGTCACGCTTTTATGTCCAATCCAAATATAAACACGTGGAAAAAAATCTCTCGAGATCATTTTTCTCATCCCTAGTTATCTGTAAAAGTTATAATGAATTTTAACTTGTTTACCTCATATCTGCGGACGGGGACAGACACAAATACACAGAGGTCAAGTTTATGAAGTTTTAAATCAGAATCTTTGACAGTTCCTTAAAAGTAGAAAAGTAGAATGATAAACCAATACCTTTTATAATATTCTAAGTATTAGTTAATAGAGTTTATATATGTACAGTTTTAATTAAAATCTATATTTATAGTCATTTAAATCCTGTTTTTTTTTCCACAGACCCGCGGACTGTAACCTGCTGCCATCGTTTGACCCTGAAACTGTCCTCCAGAGCGGTAAATATCACCACACACCAACCCTTTAGTTCCAGTTAGAATTATTCAGGTCTTTCTGAATCTCGACAGGATGGTTTCGGTGTCACTGAAGTCCAGACTTTGTCCATCATCCAGTGACTTCAGGAAAGTTTCATGGTGCATCCTCCCGGTGTCACAAGTTTCCCTCTCACTCCAAACTTTCTTTCTGCTGCTCGATTTACGTTTTCAGCTGCAGATTTCATGACTTGCAGTTTGTAATCTGCAGAATCTGATTTTGTTTTTAGGGGCATTTGTGTTCAGTCTTTTCAATCGTCTTTATAAGCTTAAAGTTTAAATGTTAAATTGTTGAGTGGTGCAGAAGTAACAGTGCGATCGACTGACATGATACAGACAGGACAGAGGCTCTTTCTGCAGGAGACATGCGCAGTAGAGCCAAGTGACAGTGGTACAGGCGGAACAGGAGCAGCAGATACTCACACACAAGACTAGAACCTCTCCACACTTCACCAAAAACATTTTAATATAGAAGTCACACCGGAGAATAAGTCCCAGGAAAAAAAGTGACACTTATAGTCCAAAAAATATGGTAATTTCCATATCAGCGTGCAATGAGTTTGCAGTTTTCTTTAATGACAACGTTCAGGGTATCAAAAATACCATCAATTCCACAACGCAAATAACAACCATACAGCCGGAGACACTTGGAGCTGAGTCACTTTACACCTGTAACTGACAGAACTCATAGGCTGCGTTCAGACTGCAGCCTGAAGTGACCTAAATCCAATTTTTTGGCTTCTATGTGACCTGTATCTGATCTTTTAATGACAGTCTGAACGACACAGATCCGATTTTTTCAAATGTGACCCAGGACACTTGGATATGTGGTCCTGAAACTGATACATATCTGATCTTTTGACATGTGACTTCAGTCTGAACGGCCAAAGTGCATTCATCCACCTACACGTTATCAACAAGACACAAACGTCACTATTCTGCGCTGAAGTTCAGATCTCCAGTGTGAACATTAAACGGCCCAAAAGTGTCCCACATGTGACACTGGAGACACGACGACATCAACCGCAGCGAGCGTCTCTGTGTTTACGGAAGTTGTCCAAACATGGACGCAGCATCGAGCACCTGGAGATTTTAAAGTTCCTCTCGTACCGGAGCCAGAACATGAACAACTTACTTGTTTTAAGGAGGAGATTGAGAAGGAGAAGGACGAGGTTTTTGGTCGTGGTGTTTTGTGGTTCAGTCCGTTGAAAGGAACGTGTGGATGTGGAGACGGAGCCAAGAGTGGTGAGTGGTGATGTGCTTCTCTTCACTGACATGGAGTTCATTAACAATTTTCATATGATGAGAAGAACGTTTGTGAACATTTGTAACGTGTAGGTGGATGAATGCACTTTGTCCGTTCACACTGAAGTCACATGTCAAAAGATCAGATATGTATCAGTTTCAGGAGCACATATCCAAGTGTCCTGGGTCACATTTGAAAAAATCGGATCTGTGTGGTTCAGACTGTCAATAAAAGATCAGATACAGGAACATAGAGACAAAAAATCAGATTTTGGTCACTTCAGACTGCAGTCTGAACGTAGACTTAGAGATCGTCACCAATCTTGCCTGCCTCGTCGTCTTACCCACTGGATTTCTGAAGTCCGTCCTCAACAGTTTGCCTTCACCACTCGCTCACATACACTACCGGTCAAAAGTTTTAGAACACAGGTGTCAAACATACGGCCCGGGGGCCAGATCCAGCCCTCCAGGACTTTTAATCTGGCCCTCGGCTGATTTTCTACTAAAATATTTTAATTATATTTTCTATTAAAATCTTGTTAATTTTCTGTGGTGTTTATCACAGCAGCGTCTCCAGCGTCTCTGTACGTGGCCCCTCCCACCAGAGCAGCACAAATGAAGACTTGTCTCTTTCCAAACGCTCTTAAAGGACGATCGTTTTGACTGTTGACCGTGACACCCTCATCAGAAAAATGTCCAACATGAGAAAAGTGGAGCCGAGTGCAGGATTTTACAACAAAAATTTACTTATTCCTATTTATACAAGTTCATGTTAAAACAAGTTCATGTTAAAACATTGTGTTGAAATTACATTTTTCTTAAAGTTTCAGGTTGTTCATAATATTATAATATTTTGTAAAAGAAAGAGTTCATTCATTAAAAAAGATTTCTGTAATAGATTTGCGTTTCTCTGCACAAGTATTTTTAAGGTTTATATGACATGAGTTTTCTGATCCGGCCCCTTTAGGATCAGAGTAGGTTGGATACGGCCCCCAGAACAAAGTGAGTTTGACACCCCTGTTTTAGAACACCACACTTTTTCCAGTTTTTGATGTCGACCAAAACATATTCTAAACTTTTGATTGACGTGTGTGTCGACTTTTGTCAGATAGAACAGCTGAACACACTCATGGCTCGTTCTTTTTGCAACAGAAATCAAATATTGTTCAGAAAGTTCTTCCCGAGTCTGTCGCAGAAGTTTCCATAAATGTGTGGCACTTGTAGGTTGCTTCAGTCTTCAGCTCGATGAGGTTTAAGTCTGGACACTGTGCTGCTGGACACTGCAGGTTTTCAAGTTTTACCATTTTGTTCTTTTTTCCTGAGGTCGTTTTGGCAGAACTTGGACTTGTGTTTTGTATCTTTTATCTTTTTTTTTTAACCTCTGGCTGTTTAATTTTTACCTCTGGGTCCAGTCAAGCGGTAACGGAGGGAAACAGGGGCAGATTTTTTACATTCAAATTCAAATAAGTTGTTGACAAAAAATTTAAAAACTCATGTTGGTAACGGAGGGAATAAAATATGCAGCACTTTTTGGGCAATAAATCCAAACAGTGATAACTCTTGGTTCTCACTTACATATCCTTAACAAACTGGTTTGAATATTTGCTTCATATAGTTTTCTACCATATGGTACAAGATTAGGTTGAAAAACCTCTTACTTTTTGACTCATGAGATTTTTTATTAAGAAAGTTCATGGTAACGGAGGGAAAATTGTTCAAACAAGTAGAAGGTGCAGGATTTTACATCATTTGTCAACTTTTTTCTTCTGAAAACTTTAATATTACTTCAAAATGAAAGGAAACTATTTCTATAAAATATGTCAGTCCTTCCAAGAACATTTTTATCATTTTAAATACTTTTTTTGTTTTAAATCCTGTACCTTCATCAACAGTTCAAAGATGGAATAACACAAGATATGATGAAATACAAACATTTATTTACATGATTTTTGGGTCTTTGAAATTTGGGAAATAATTTTTGTTCCATGTTTCATACATGGTCTGTTTAAAACGTATGGTAACTTTAGAACCAAAAATGGTACAGAAAAAAGGTCAACAGTTTCATAAACTAGAGTACATATGTGTCTGTTCAATACATTTTTATATCAGATGAATTAACTTGAATTTTTGGCCTTGTTGTTTACTTCTGTTTGACTGGGACCATTTGTACCATTTCAAGCTCTTCACCAGACTCTCAAATCTGCCGTTTTTTGTCAAAGTTCTTGAACGTATAGACCTAGACTGACTTAAAGCTCACACGAGTCGGTTCTGTGTGATGTGGGCCCTTTAAGCGTCTTTTTGATCCTTGTTTTTCGTAGCTCGGGCGTGGCATCTGGTTTAATCCGCGGCTCCTTCAGTTGTTTGGGCGTTTGCGGTGTTGTTTTGTTTTGACACGAGCGCCTCAGTCCTCTGTGTGAGTGCGGGAGAAGAGGCTCTTTGTATATGTGGTACCACTCTGTCCTCTACTCCCTTCTCTCCTCCTCCTCTCCATCTCTCCCTTTCTCTCTCTCCTCTTCTACATCCCTCTCTTACTTTTTATCTCCAAATCTCCATCCTTCTCTGACCCTGTTTCTTTGTCTCCTCATCTCAATCCTTCTTTCTCCTCTCCAAGCCTCTTTTCTTTTTTTTCTCTCTCTCTCTCTTGCTCTTTCTCTCTCTCTCTCTTCCTCCCTTTCTCACAAACTAGTAAGAATTTGTTTACAAACAGAATGGGCAGAGTAACATGCTTTTATTCTGCCTCCATCTTCTCTCTCTCTCTCTCTCTCTCTCTCTCTCTTTCTCCTTCCCTTCCTCCCTCCATCCCTCACTACCTCTACCTCTCTCTCCCTCCTCTCCTTCCCTCCCTTCCTCTCTCTCCTCCCACCTTCACATCTCTCTCTCCTTCTCTTTCCATCCCTCCCCCTCTCACTCTTTCTCTACCTCTCTCTCTCATCGCTCTCCCTCCCTCTCTCACTCGCTCTCTCCCCCTGTCGATCCCTCTCTCTCTGTCCCTCTTTCTCTCTCCCTCTCTCCATCCCTCCCTTCTTTTTTCTCTCTCTCACTTTCTCTCCCTCTCTCTCTTCCTCTCTCTCCTTCTCTCTCTCTTTCCCGCCCTCCCCTCTCTCTTTTTCCCTCTCTCTCTCTTTCCCTCTCTCTTTCCTCTCTCTCTCTCTTTCCCTATCTCTCTCTATCCCTCTCTCCCTTCCTCTCCCCTTCCCTTTCTCCATCTCTCTCTCTCCCTCTCTTCTCTTCTCTCTCCCTCTTCTCTCTCCTCTCTCTCTCTCTCTCTCTCTCTCTCTCTCCTCTCTCTCTCTCTCTCTCCTCTCTCTCTCTCTCTCTCCTCTCTCTCTCTCTCTCTCTCTCTCTCTCTCTCTCTCTCTCTCTCTCTCTCCTCTCTCTCTCTCTCTCTCTTTCCCTCCCTCCTCTCTCTCTCTTTTTCTCTCCTGCCTTCCCTCCCTCTTTCTTTCTCTCTCTCTCCCTCTCTCTTCCTTTCTCTATATCTCTCACTTCCTTTCCCTCTCTCTATCCCTCCTCTCCTTCTCTCTCTCCTTCTCTCTCTCTCTCTCTCTCTCTCCTTCTCTTTCCCTCCCTCTCTCTCCCTCTTTCTCTCCCTTCCTCTCTCTCTCCCTCCCTTCTTTCTTTCTCTCTCCCTCTCTCTCTTTCTCTCCTGCCTTCCCTTCCTCTTTTTCTTTCTCTCTGTCTCCTCTCTCTCCTCTCCCTCTCTCTCTCTTTCTCTCTCTCCCTCTCTTCCTTTCTCTATATCTCTCACTTCCTTTCCCTCTCTATCCCTCTCTTTCTCCTTCTCTCCCTCCCTCTCTCCCTCTCCTTCTCTCTCTCTCTCCTTCTCTTTCCCCCCCTCTCTCTCTCCCTCCCTTCTTTCTTTCTCTCCCCTCTCTCTCTTTCTCTCCTGCCTTCCCTCCCTCTTTTTCTTTCTCTCTCTCTCTCTCTCTTCCTTTCTCTATCTCTCTCACTTCCTCTCCCTCTCTCTATCCCTCTCTCTTTCTTCTTCTCTCCATCCCTCCCTCCCCATCTCTCTTTCTCTCCCTTTCTCCATTTCTCTCTCTCTCTCCCTCTCCATCTCTCTCCCTTTTTTCCCCTCCCTCCCTCCCTCTCTCCCTCTCTCTCTTTGTCTCCCTCTTTCTTTCTTTCCCTCTGCCTATCCCTCTCTCTCTCTCTCTCTCTCCCTCCCTCCTTCTCTCTCTCCCTCGCTCTTCTCCAGTCTAGTTTCTAACCCTTGTCTTGTGTGTTTTGTGTTTTGTGTTTTATGTTTTTTGTTTTGTGTTTCAGGTCATGAGCTTCTGTCTGAGCTTCAGCAGAGGAGGTTTAACGGTTCAGAGGGAGGAGGCCCTGGAGGTGAGGAGGAGGAGGAGGAGGAGGAAACTGAAACTCTGCGCAACACGACATCCACTATTTAAACATCTTATATGATTCTAAATCCATTATAAATCCTGTTACCTCCTCAAAAACGCAGAGCTCTTTTGCGAGGTCATTCACGTTTCCAGTTAAAGGTTGTATGGAGGATTGTTTTTGTTTCAAATTGTCAATGAAAGTTTAAAACACCATTACAGAGACGCAGCAGCTTTGTAATTATAATGACCAAAACAAAAAGAACGAAAATCTATCAACTGTGGCCGTAGTGAGGACAGATAAACATCAGCCAATAGAAAACGAGGCTCCCTCATTTTCTATTGGCTGTTAGGTTGTCAATCAAACTCCCTAGTGTAACTGAGTCGTCGGCGCGCGGGGATTACGTGGTTTATGCAGCGGTTCTTTGAGGCTTTTTCAAACTGTCGCTTCCTCGCATTTCGCACAAAGTTTGTCGCGACGGCGGACGAGAATCCACGACCGGTTCGCCCCAAAAGAAAGTCCGTTTTTGAGGTCGCTGAAAGAAGAAGAGAAGGAGAAAAGGAGCGAAGACAAACTGAGGTGATTCTTGGAGATTCCTTCCACCGATGGTGCGACTGAAACAGACGAAGGGTCTAAAAACTGACGCGTCGGTCACTAAATTACCTCTAGACAGGAAACTTCAACAGTGATTCTGAACGCGCACAAGGACTGTCGCTGTATTTCTCTTCCCTTAAAAAAATCCTCTATACAACCTTTAAATGTGACTTGTATGTGATCTCCAGTGTGAACTTTAAACGGCCCAAAAGTGTCCCGCACGTGCACTGGAGACACGACGACGTCACACTCGGCGAGCGTGTTCAGCGTTTACGGAAGTCGCCTAAACTCTGGGCTGGTCTCCCAAAATCCGGTCCAGTTGTTGGTAAAATGTTCAGGTTACACGTCCACGGCCGCTTCGTGTGTTTGAATCTTTACCTACGGAAGCCGAGAGGGGTCGCAACAAACGCAAACGCCGCAACAAATAGAAATGCGACAACACACCAAAAAAAGCCACAACAAACCAAAAAAAGCCACAACGGAAATGACCGCCAGACTATTTTAATGCAAATGCCGCAACACATTAAAAAGCCGCAACACATTAAAAAGCCACAACACATAAAAAAAAAAAAAAGCAACAACAGAAGTGACCGCGGGACTCTATTTTCCGACGGACCGATCAAGCGGCAAGTGAAGAAGAAGAACTACAACGTGAAACGAATGACGATAAAACAATAAATTACTTTTACTTACGTTTCCAACTTCTCCGTTCCTTTACTTTTCACGTTGTAGTTCTTCTTCTTCACTTGCCGCTTGATTGGTCCGTCGGAAAATAGAGTCCCGCGGTCACTTCCGTTGTGGCTTTTTAATGTGTTGCGGCTTTTTAATGTGTTGCGGCATTTGCGTTTGTGTTGTGGCGTTTGTATTTGTTGCGGCGTTTGCATTAAAATAGAGTCCCGCGGTCATTTTCGTTGTGGCTTTTTTTGGTTTGTTGTGGCTTTTTGTTGTGTTGTCGCATTTGTATTTGTTGCGGCGTTCGCGTTTGTTGTGACCCCTCTCGGCTTCCGTATTTATCCTCCTTGTGTTTGACTCGCGGACTCTTTTTCATCAACATTGGAGTCAGGACCGTCTGTAGTCGCGCTCGGACATTTCTTTGGCAATCATTTAAAAAAAATGCCCGGTTCTGATAAGACTCCTCCAATTTGTCCTGAATACAGTGATCCCCCCACATATTAATGAACTCACTAACCTCACTTTTGACTCCAAGTCCAACGAGTAGGTGGATGAATGCACTTTGGCCGTTCAGACTGAAGTCACATGTCAAAAGATCAGATATGTATCGGTTTCAGGGGCACATATCCAAGTGTCCTGGGTCACATTTCAAAAAATTTAATCTGTGTCGTTCAGACTGTCATTAAAAGATCACATTTTTATCGCATAAGGGCCAAAAAATCTGATTTGGGTCACTTCAGAACCCGTGTGTCATTCGTTCATAAGTTTTTCAATATAAAACCAAAAATAAGAAAATTAAAAAACTACAGCTTTCTTCATTATTTGTCTCCAAAACCAAAATGAAATAACGGATAATAAGTCATTTTTTTTCAGTTTTCGATTTTGTGTTTAACTGAAGAATGGAAAAAACAGATTACAAACGTTTACATGACTTCCATGACTGTGATGTTGGACTTTGGCACCGAATACGGACTGAACCAGGACTGAACCAGGACTGAACCAGGTCCGGGACCAGGTCCGGGACCAGAGCGGGACCAGAGTGGACTCCGAGCTTTGACTCTGAGCCTCCGCAGGGTCCGAGCCTCAGCTTCGAGCTCCGGCCCTGACATGGGCTCTGAGCCTCCCCTCTAGTCTTGATCTGGTCCCGGTCTGGTCCAGGTCTGGTCCCGGTCTTGTCTCGGACCTGGATCAGCCCAGGTTCAGTCCAGCAGTCAGGGAAGTCACGTAAACGGGCCGTTATCCGTTTTTTCCATTTTTCATTTAAACACAAAATCGAAAACTGAAAAAACAACTCATTATCTGTTTCTTCATTTTGGTTTTGGAGACAAATAATGAGGAAAATAGTAGTTTTTTTGTTTTCTTATTTTTGGTTTTATATTGAAAAATGAATGAACGAATGACACACGGATTGTTCAGGCTGCAGTCTGAACGTGGCCATAGACCGTTGTGGGTTTTTCGGAAGGTTCCATGCGTGTCCTAAAAAGAAGCACAGGAGATGGAGAATCCGAGAGAACAGGCCACTTTATTTCGTCATTTTCCATTGAGAGATTCAAGTTGATTACCAAGTACAACTGTCACCCCGGAACGACACCTCAAATGACCAACTCAAAATCAGGGGTAGCTTTATACTACATCTTGACAAAACATTAACTTGTTGATTTAGCATATACAGCAAGAAAATGAACAATACTGCTGACCCAGTGCACCTTATCATGGGTGGGAACATGTCACGGGGACCACACATGTCAGTTTTGCTGCTTCATGGCATCTCAAAGTCCAAAAAAACATATTCTTTATGGCAAGAAAAACATTTTATGTAGACCTACAGATAGTCATACGTTTTCCACCCTGTTGTCATTCTAAAGTCCATAATGTTAGGTGAATTAGCATGGCCAACACATAATTTCCCACACCGTCTAAAAAAATAAATAGACACAGTTAAACCTTGATATCTTCATGGAGACCAAATCAGGCCAAGTTACAGGTCAGATCTGTGGAGAGGTGACCCCACTCACAGTCAGAATTATGTTTTTCTAGGTATTTTTGAGCTATAAAACCACCTGTGATTGAATAAATGTAAGTTAGAGCTGTTTAATGTCACACTTTGGAACATTCCAGGCACAGAGAAACAAGCATGGATGAAATAAAAACTCCTCAGACATGTTTTTGATGAGAGAACGTGGTAGAAAGCTGCGTAATAAAAACTCCTTCTGCTTTTCACACTTTTAAAACCGTAAAAATCAGGTACAGCTCCTTCACACACTAAAATTCAAAACAAAATGTCCAGACTTTTTAAGATTTTCCCGCTCAATCTGGCTTCGGCCTCTTCTTCTTCTGCTTCTTCGTGTGTTTCTCCAGGCCCGGCGTGGTGTCCCATGGAGGAGGAGCTTCTGGCCCAGCCTCAGGTGATGAAGCTGCTGGACTCGCTGAGAGAACAGTACACCAGGTACCAGGAGCTGTGCAGGCAGAGGAGCAAGAGGAGCCAGCTGGAGGACATCCACACCAAGGTCATGCAGGTGAGAAGGTCCAGGACACGAGGACACTTCACCTCCTCCTCACCAGTGCTGGAAAGTAACAAAGTAAAAGTACATCGGTCCCTCGTTTGTTCTAAAAACAAACCGCGATAGGTGAAATACGTGAAGTAGTCATCCTTCTTAAAACTTATCGTTGCCGTCGTACTTTTGTTATTTTCCGCCTTCTTTATGTAACGAACTGAAGATTAATTTATTTCGTAATGGAGTCCTAGAGCGCAGAGTCCCGCACGGGTCCGTTTTTGGAGACTCGCACCCGCGCAGGACAGGACCGCACCCGCCCGTTAACCTGAGATTATATTGAATTTTTCTTCTGCATACGCCACAGACTGAACCAAAACTAAACCAGGATTTACCCAGGACTAACCAAGGATTAACTTAGGACTGAACCAGGACTAAACCAGGACTAACCCAGGACTGAACCAGGACTGAACCAGGACTTAACCAAGACTGAACCAGGACTAACCAAGGATTAATTTAGGACTGAACCAGGACTGAACCAGGACTCAACCAGGACTAACCAGGACTGAACCAGGACTGAACCAAGACTGAACCAGGACTAACCAAGGATTAATTTAGGACTGATTCCAGGACTAAACCAGGACTAAACCAGGACTAACCTAGGACTGAGTCCAGGACTGAAGAGGTGGACTAAACCAGGACTGAACTCGGACTAACCCAGGACTGAACCAGGACTAACCCAGGACTGAACCAGGACTAACCCAGGACTAAACCAGGACTAACCCAGGACTGAACCAGGACTAAACCAGGACTAAACCAAGACTAACCCAGGACTGAACCAGGACTGAACCAGGACTGAACCAGGAACCAGGACTGAACCCAGGACTAACCCAGGACTAACCCAGGACTAACCCAGGACTGAACCAGGACTAACCCAGGACTGAACCAGGACTGAACCAGGACTGAACCAGGACTGAACCAGGACTAGCCCAGGACTGCACCAGGACTGGACCAGGACTGCACCAGGACTGCACCAGGACTGAACCAGGACTGACCAGGACTGCACCAGGACTGCACCAGGACTGCACCAGGACTGAACCAGGACTAAATCCATCAAACAGCGCGGCTTCGTAGTTTACCAAAGTCATACTTGAACATTTTGACAGATTTTTGAGCGCCGTGTACCACATAAAACCAGTTTGAAGTCTCTAAGTACGACCAGAATTCACACATAAGGCGCACTGTCGACTTTTGAGAAAATTAAAAGATTTTAAGTGCGCCTTATAGTCCAGAAAATACGGTAATCGTCTTCACAGAGATACGTATACTGTTTTGTCCAGAAGATTCCATAGTATGGCATTAAACAAACACAGCTTTCTCCAAGAAGACACACAAAGGAGGTTACCAGAGCAAGTTACAGGTCAGATCTCTGGAGAGGCAAGCCCGCTCAATGAAAGAATGCGAGTTTTTCAACCTATTTTCTAAAACAATAACTAGTCTATGGACGACCGATCAAATCTAGTAGTAAAGTGTCTGTACTTTACTCGATTTTAAAATGGATACTTCATACTTTTACTTCACTACTTTTCAGAGCAGGTATTTGTACTTTCTACTCCACTACATTTTTTGAACTGGACTGACAAGTACAAGTATTTTTCTTATTGTTTAGACCTCAGAATTCATCATTTGAGCAAACAAAAATACAGATAAAAACTATTGATTCGTTCAGTTGTTTCTTTCCGACAAAATTTTGCACACATCTTTATCAAAATCACAACATTTGAAGCTTTCTTAGATCTGAAAATCTGTCAGTATCGCAGAAAATAATACATAATAATAATAATTAGATAATATAATAATGAACAAAGGAGCAACAATATTTGAGATTAATGGAATAATAACGTTTCCGGAGCAACAAACCCCAAAATGTCAAGATCTCACTTCCATCTCGGTCTCCTCCAGTCGATCGTTCCCGTCCCCCCCCCTGGTCTTTCTTTCCTGGATCTCAGAACTAGGCTAACCCCCTCCAGCTCTGACCCAGAATCCTCCAACCTCTTTCCCCAGGCTGTTCTCGCAGACAGACCCTTTACCCATCAGCCCCGGCGCCTCCAGACCACATAATAATACCACGGCCTTTCACACAAGTGTAATCAAGTGTGTGAGCCTGAGCTGGTCCAGGGGTCGGGGGTCGGAGGTTTACAGCCCGCAAGAACCTACAAGCAGATAGACATTAGAGGCCGTATTTCAATATAAATACAGCCGTATTTAGGGATGGGCATGATTAGTCGATTAATCGATAATTGATCATTAAGAATTTCATCGATTACGCTCATTTTAATCGACAAACTGAATGTAGGTTGTTGTGTGTAGTGTGACTAAACAGGGTCTGTACATGTGTCTCTGCATCAGAAGGAGCGAGACACAAACAGTGGGTCAGTCTGTAACGAACCGAAGCACAAATGTGGATTTAACGATGATTTGTACAAGAAATTCCAAGCTTTCCGTTGCGTGTGAGTCCATGTGCACAGTGTATAAAGCAGCACTTATGTTTCGGTGTCCAGTGGTTCGATTAAAGTTTCGTCAGGTGAGAGTCGCTCAATGTCGATGACGAGGCCCCGCCCCCCTCCCCCCGTACGCTGTCCTGGTTTTGAAAACGCAAATATGGTCACACTAACCTGTATTCCACTGGGTCGTGCCGCATCAGCGCACAAGAACTGTTTTTTTTTCTCCTCTTAGTTTATGCAAATGAGCCATGTGGTTTTAAGTTTTGTTTCTGTAAGATTTGCGCAAAACTGAATTAAACACATTATAATGTCAAACAGCTGATGTGGCTCTAGAGTCGTTATGTTTATATGTCGTAAAGTTGAATTTATTTATGCAGATTAGTGCAGATAGTAATAATAATGATGATCATTTTAATATAAAAACTTTAATGATTCATCAATAATCGATCGTCAGTGTTGGGGAGTAACAGATTACATGTACCAGAGTTACGTAATCAGAGTACAAATGATGAGTAACTGTATTCAGTTACAGTTACTGTTTCAGTGAGTGGTAATTGGATTACAGTTACTTTGTTGAAATAAATGGATTACACAGAGGGATTTTCCTGTTTTCACATTTTGGGCTGTATCCCCTTTTTTTGGGGGGGGGGTAATTCCACTCACTGCCGGAAATTAAACCAGGTCTAAACCAGGTCTAAACTAGGACTAAACCAGGACTAAGCCAGGTCTAAAACCAGGTCTAAACCAGGTCTAAACTAGGTCCAAACCAGGTCTAAATCCAGATCTAAACCAGATCTAAACCAGGACTAAACCAGGACTAAAACCAGGTCTAAACTATGTCTCAAACAGGATTTAACAGGACTAAATCATGCTGCATGGACCATGTCTCCTCGTCTTCTATCAATAATATTTTTAATTTGGTTCAGTAAAGTCTGGGCTTTTTATTTTCTTTTATCAGACAAAACTTCTTATGTTACGATTTCCTGGTATTTGCTTCTCTACAGCAAATCAAGTAATCCGAAGTATTCAGATTACGTTACTCACTTTAAGTAATTTAATGGATAACGTTACAAACTACATTTTGGTGTGTGTAATCTGTAATCTGTGGGGGAATACATTTTAAAAGTAAACTTCCCAACACTGTCAGTCATTAATTCTCCCGATGGTCGATTAAGAAAGTTTAATCGAATGCCCGTCCCTGGTGAGGTTAGAGAGTTTATTCATATTTGTGGGGGTCGCTGCATTCAGGACAAACTGGAGGGTTTTTTAAATGATGTCCGAGCGCGACTAGATACGGTCTTGACCCCAATGTCTACGAAAAATAGTCTGCGAGAAAAAATACAAGGAGGATAAAGACTCAAACAAACGAAGCGGCCGTGGACGTGTAACCTGAACATTTTACCAACAACTGGATCGTGTTTTGGGAGACGCGCCCTTAGTATTGACGACTTCTGTAAACACTGGGCACGCTCAGTGGTTACAGAAGATTGGGTCCACGACAATGACACAGGAATTTGACATAATATAATAAATAATAAATAAACAATAATAATAACGTAGTGCAATGAATTTCAAGAGTTTGGCTTCACTATTTTTACTTTAATGGTCATTGTATTGTTTGTATTCTTTTTTGAACTACAGCCGTCCAAAACAAAGATAAATTCAGGAGTTCAAAAATCTCCCGAGATCATTTTTCTTATGTGTGTGCTCGATCTTGTGGCACGAGATGTGTCAGTTCTCTTCTCGTCCTGCAGGTGGTGACGTGGCTCCAGGGTCCAGGCTCCGAGCTGCTGAAGTCCCATCAGGCCATAGGAGACTCCATCAGAGCGGCTCAGGCTCTGCAGCAGAAGCACGAGGAGATCGAGAGTCAGCACAGCGTGAGTACAGACCCCGAAGATATCATCAAACCAAAAGAACAGAACAGCTAAAACGTGTCTTTAAAGGTCCTGTATTACCGTAATTTCCGGACTACTGAGTGCACCTGAATATAGGCGAGTTTCAGCTGACGTCATTGTTATTAAAAGCCCATGTTGCTGCTGGGAAATATTTTGGTCAGAGGCGAGAAACACGGTAGTGGTCAAACACAGTGCGTAACTTTGCGTATTTATCACCGATAATGGTAAATTCCTGCTGCATTATCGGATGCACAAATAGAAGCACGGAAGAAGGAAAATGTCTTTCTCGTATTCTGAGTGAAAAGAACCACTAACGGTGAATTAAACGACTTTCAAACATCCGCAGAGCAAACGTAGAAGATCCTAACAAACCGTGGACTCCAACAAGTTCAACAACACATCGAGACTCTTGGAGGTTTTCATCTTTTCTGCTGTGAATGGCCCAGGAGTTTCCACCAAGTCATTGTGGATATCACCAACGTGAATATTTGTCCAGGGAGTTGGCGATTTTGACCAGAAATTTGGTTTGGTCCACCTTTTGTCGGGGTTGAAAAGGGTGATTTGGCGTCCGTCGATGCTTATGACCAATTTCTGGTCAAATGGTCTTGGGTCCTCTGCCGTTAGAGTGGATAAATAACAGGGTTCAATACCCTTTACGTGCTTTCTCGCTCCGTCCGTCATGTTGAATTAGTGTTTCTTGCCGCTGACCAAAATAATTCCCAGCATGCGACGCGCGCTTTTGTCAACAATGAAACTCGCCTATACGCCGCATGAACAAAATTTTAACTATATTTTAAAATTGTACATAAATAGGCCCCACCTGAATATAAGCCGCAGGTGTCCACGTCTTCGAGAACGTTTTCAAGTCGGGGCCGTCTGCTTTTCTCGCCTCCGAAAGTTTTTGGCGATAAACTCAGACTGCGTCGAGTCACTTTTTTTACGCTGCCGTCGCCAAAATCTCACCATCGGCTCACTGATGTTGAGCTCACGTGCGGCAGCAGCTGTTTCCTTCTTCCACAGACACATCAGTCGACTTTAACTTAAAAGCTGCATCATCTGCTTATAGTCCGGAAATTACGGTACCCAAAACTGACTCTTGTGAGCTTTAAGTCATGTTATAATGTTGTTTCCTCAAAAACAAGACATGGAGTTGTGTTTTGTTTAATTCGCACGTTTGAGTAACTCTTTATTGTTAGTCTTAACTCTTTCCCCCATGAAGACGACATTTGACGACCCCTTGTTTCCTTAATGACGTGTTTTGACTCCTCCGCTGTTTCACTAAAGACGTGATTTGACGACCATTAGAAACAGCTCGGTTTTTCATATTTAAACAGAGACTGTGATTGGTTTAGGCCACTACAACCCACACTAGACTGACCAATAGGATTCAAGGATACGTTTTCGCCGATTTTTTTCTTAAGTTAATCGAAGTAGTGACGATGGTAGCTTACGGAAAAAACACAACACGAAACACGAGCAATGGAAAGATCGCAGCGCTGCGGCGCACAGTTTAAAAAAAAAAATGAGGAGCGGACGTATTTTATGGATAAGTTTTGAGAAAGTGACTTTTATAGATTTCAAAGTGATGATGTTGAAGTTGATTATAAAGTGGAAAACAGCGATAGCGACGGACTTTAGGGGAGTGAAACTTACGAAGATGAGAATGCTGCTGATGCATCTGTGTGGAGTCCTGCGATATCCAAACAAACTATCGGGCTTTATATTTGATTATGAACCAAACTTGCCCTGAAATCTGGATGTTGCACAGTCTAGTCCTTTTAAAATATTTCAGTCTTTTTTTCCAAGATGAGATGTATAACAGAATTGCTACAGAAATAAACGCTTATGCGGAGCTCTGCACACGAGAAAGTGACCAAGATGACAAATACTGGACAAACACTGACAGGGAAGAGTTTTATTATTATATTATTATATTATAATAAGCTGAATGAGTTGAATAAGTTAAATGGAAAAAATGAATTAGGTCCACACAGGTGAACAACAGGTAAAAACAGGTGCACACTTGGCTCTACTGTATCTGGTGATATGAAATCTGTTTAAATACTTTGACAAAGTATATTTTTTATTTTTTTATGAATATAGTACTCAGAACATGCAGATATCAGATGCTGAATGTAGTTTTTTGTTTTCGATTTTGCACCTGACCAGGTAAACTCTCATTTTCATTGAGCTGTTATAAACCTGTAAATGAGTTGAATCACATTTAAACATCCAGAAATGAAGAGTTCAGAGTCTAAAGTTTCCAGAGATACTAAATATGTCTGTGTTTCAATTAAGTTCAAGAGTGTAAAAATCATTTATAATCACTCGTGGAAGTCGGTTTTCTTTTATGCAGTTATGCTCTATGGCACAGGTGTCAAACATACGGCCCGGGGGCCAGATCCGGCCCTCCAAGACCTTTAATCTGGCCCTCGGCTGATTTTCTACTAAAATATTTTAATTATATTTTCTATTAAAATCTTGTTAATTTTCTGTGGTGTTTATCACAGCAGCGTCTCCAGCGTCTCTGTACGTGGCCCCTCCCACCAGAGCAGCACAAATGAAGACTTGTCTCTTTCCAAACGCTCTTAAAGGACGATCGTTTTGACTGTTGACCGTGACACCCTCATCAGAAAAATGTCCAACATGAGAAAAGTGGAGCCGAGTGCAGGATTTTACAACAAAAATTGACTTATTCCTATTTACATCCAAGTTCATGTTAAAACTTTGTGTTGAAATTGTATTTTTCTTAAAGTTTCAGGTTGTTCATAATATTATAATATTTTGTAAAAGAAAGAGTTCATCAATTAAAAAAGATTTCTGTAATAGATTTGCGTTTCTCTGCACAAATATTTGAGCTTATTGTTATTTTGGGGGTTTATATGACATGAGTTTTCTGATCCGGCTCGTTTGGGATCAAAGTCGGTTGGATACTGCCCCCGGAACAAAAGGAGTTTGACACCCCTGCTCTACGGGCAGCCCTAGTATCATATGTATGGGTTGTTCCTAGTGGGCGTCCAGGGGGGAAAGAGTTAAAAAAAAAGGTTTCACAATGCACCTTTAACCGTATTCCCACCTCCTCACCCGCGTCTGCGCTCGTGTCTCTGGGCAGGAGTGGTTTGCGGTGTACGTGGAGCTGAACCAGCAGATCGGCGCCCTCCTCAGCGCGGGGGAGGAGGAGGAGGTGGTGGAGCTCAAGTCTCTGCAGCAGAAGCTCAGCGACGTGTGCTACAGGCAGGCCGCTCAGCTGGAGACCCGGCAGAACGTGCTCCAGGCCGCGCACAGCTTCCACAGCACCACGCAGGAGGTACGCTAAAGCCACACTGACGGACATTCCAGGCAGAGCGGTAACAGCTGAGTGAGACCGTCCGCCAGGAAAGTCTAATGTCGTTTCCTCGTCACAAACAAACCTGGAGTTGTGTTGTTTCATTCGTTTAATACACAAACACGGCAGAGTCGAGCTGAATCTGTGTGTGTCATTCGTTTATTTGTTTTTCAAAATAAAACCAAAAAGAAGAAAATGAAAAAGCAACTAGTTTCTTCATTATTTGTCTCCAAAACCAAAATGAAAAAACAGATAATGGACTGAACCAGGACTAAACCAGGACTAAACCGTTTTCAGTCCTGATCTGGCCTTAGCCCCGGTCTCAGTCCCGTTCTGGTTCAGGTCTCGGTCTCAGTCCTGGTCTCAGTCCCGGGCTGATCCCGGTCTTGGTCTCAGTCCTGGTCTCAGTCCTGTTCTCAGTCCCGGTCTGATCCCGGTCTCGGTCTCAGTCCCGGTCTCAGTCCTGGTCTGGTTCCGGTCTGGTCCTGGTCTGGTCCCGGTCTCAGTGCCGGTCTCAGTCCCAGTCTGGTCCCGCTCTCAGTCCTGGTCTCAATTACAGTCTGGTCCTGGTCTGGTCTCTATCTCAGTCCCGGTCTGGTCCCAGACTGGTCCTGGACTGGTCCCGGTCTGGTTCCGGTCTGGTCCAGGTCTCAGTCCTGGTCTCAGTGCCGGTCTGGTCCTGGTCTCAGTCCTGGTCAGGTCCATGTCTGGGCCCAATCTGGTCCTGGTGTCAGTCCTGGTCTTGGTCCCGGTCTCTGTCTCAGTCCCGGTCTGGTCCTGAACCTGTTTTAGTCCTGTCTTAGTCCTGTTTCAGACCCGGTTCAGTCCTGGTTCAGTCCAGTTTTAGTCCTGGTTCAGTCCAGTTTTAGTCCTGGTTCAATCCTGGTTCAGTCCTGGTTCAGTCCTGCATCACAGTTTAAGTCATTTAAACGGGAAACGGTCGTTATTCGTTTTTTCCATTTTTCATTTAAACACAAAAACAAAAATTGAAAAAAAAACAACAACTAATCATTATGTATTTTTTCATTTTGGTTTTTGGAGACAAATAATAATTCGATAAATACAATCCTAGAATAACTGAGTAACATAAAATAACATCGTACAGCGGAGTCCTGCGCCTCCTGTAGGTTTGAAGAAAACTCTGTCTGTTCTGTCCAGACGTCCTGATAAAATGCTCTCGTTTGTATAAACTCTGTGGACATGAGATGGTTTCGTGTGATGTTGTGATTGGACAAATGCGCCTCGTCTCCCCGCAGTTGTCCCAGCAGCTGGACAGTCTTCTGGGGATGCTCTGTGCGGACGTGGCCCCGGCCGACGGAGCCGCCATCCAGCAGAACCTCAAGATGCTGGAGGAGAAACTGCAGACTGTGGGTGAGTGACTGTGTCCTGCGTCCTGTCAATCGTTATATCATCTCTGCTCTGTTTTTCTTTACGACCTCGTGTATAAAGCTGAGATATACTGGATTTTTATAACTTTTTTTTTTTTTTTATTGTTTACCGTATGTTCCGGGTCATTAGACGCGTTCTTAAGCCTCTAACCCACAGGTGTCAGACATAAGGCCCGGGGGCCAGATCCGGACCTCCGAGACCTTTAATCTGGCCCTCGGCTGATTTTCTACTTAAATATTTGAATTATATTTTCTATTAAAATATTGGTAATTTTCTGCGTCGCTTAGCATAACAGCATCTCCAATGCCTCTGTGCGTGGCCCCTCCCACCAGAGCAGCACAAAAGAACACTTGGCTCTTTCCAAACAATCCTTTTTGACTGTTGACCGTGACACCCTCATCAGTAAAATGTCAAAAATAAGAAAAGTGGAGCTGAGTGCAGGATTTTCCAAGAAAAATTGACTTATTCCTATTTGCATACAAGATCATGTTAAAACATTGTGTTGAAATAGAATTTTTCTTAAAGTTTCAGGTTGTTCATAATATTATAATAAGAAGAAAGAGTTCATCAATTAAAAAAGATTTCTGTAATAGATTTGTGTTTCTCTGCACAAATATTTGAACTTATTTTAATTTTTGGGGTATATGACATGAGTTTTCTGATCTGGCCCTTTGGGATCAAAATAGGTTGGATACGGCCCCCGGACCAAAATGAGTTTGACACACCTGCTCTAACCGCATCAAAAAACGACAGCGTGCCCTGCAATCCAGAGCGCCCTGTACACGAATCCACTCGGGTGTCCCAGTACGACTTCAGTAAACTACAAAGCCGCACCACCCACAGAACACATAAACACACACGGAGCAGACAGCGACCGCACAGTGAAACACACCCACCAGACCGAGCTCCGAACTTCACCTTTCACTATTTTTCAATTCCGTTGGGAAAGAAACAGTTTGAACGGAGGTTTGCAGTCACACACATCCGATTCACTTTTGCATTTATGGAGTTCACAAACTTCCGAAACACATTTCCTCGAGCTGTTTTGCGCTGTTAGGATCCAACGACCACACAATGACGATGTACGAATCCCAAAACTAAAATATGACAATATCAGAACCAGAAACAAAAGTGATATGGTTCAAAAGACTTGAAAAGATCGACTTTGTCAATAGACACATCCCACTGGGAAAACAAACATGGAGGTTTTGATGCTCACTTTTTCAGAAAATCCTTCTCAGTATGGATTGCACAAAGTCCGAGATTCATGGCGCATGCATTAGAAGCAGACAGAACCCAGTGGACCTATTTTGACCTGTTTTATTCAGTATATCTGGTGGAGAACCTTTAACTCTTGGCTCTGTCTTGGTTTTGTTTTCTCTTGTCCATGTCGTGTCGTTTGTGCTCTCCAGAGTCGGGCCTGACGTCGCTGCGGCAGAAGGGGGCGCTGTTGCTGGAGCAGATGTGCGGGCAGACGGCGTGGCCTGTGGAAGAAGCAGAGGGGACGTCGGAGGAGCAGCAGGGCAACGTCCAGCAGATCCAGGCGGTCATGGACGAGATGCAGCTCCGTAAGCAGAGGTCAGAGGCTCCACCGGAAAAATTTACACGAAACCTTTTGACGAAACCTCTGCCACAGACGACTAACCTGACAGAACGTGATCGAGCGTTCTATTTTTGTCTCGTACTGCGCCTTTAAACGCCTTTGGTGTCTCACACATTTGAAAATAGCGGTGTTGCGTTGGTTTCCTCAGGTGTGAAGACATGGTGGACGTCAGGAGGCTCAAGATGCTACAGATGGTCCAACTGTTCAAGTGTGAAGAGGACGCTCTACAGGTCAGAATATACTGTAACAAGCAGACTATTTTTCATGGTTTGTGTGTTTCCTGTGACTTATTCTCCGGTGTGACTTATATATTAAAATGTTTGAGTGAAGTGTGGAGAGGTTCTAGTCTTGTGTGTGAGTATCTGCTGCTCCTGTTCCTCCTGTACCACAGAAAGAGCCTCTGTCCTGCTGCAAGTCGTAAATTCTGCAGCTGAAAACTGAAATCGAGCAGCAGAAAGAAAGTTTGGAGTGAGAGAGAAACTTGTGACACCAGGAGGATGCACCATGAAACTTTCCTGAAGTCACTGGATGGATGGACAAAGCCTGGACTTCAGTGACACTGAATCCCAATAGGATAGTTTCGGAAAGGCCGGAATAATTCTAACTGGAACTGATGCTGAGTCTGACGACAGCGACACAGAAGAGGAAGTGGCGCTCCGTTTACCTCCAGAGGTTGAGGCCGAGTTGTTCAGAAGTGACACCGAGGATGAAGAACTGAATGGATTTAGTGATTTGGAGTGAGATGGAGAGTTTGGTTAAACTTGCTCTTTTCTGTTGTTTATGTTATAGTTTATCTGAAGAACTGTGAAATATGTGACGTTAACAGTCTGTTGTTCTCGCTTCTAGACTAGAGCCTCTCCACGCTTCACTCGAACATTTTAATATTTAAGTCACAGGAAACACCCAAACCATGAAAAAAGTGACACTCATAGTCCAAAAAATAGAGTAACAAGACAGTGCAGTGGTCACACAGGTGCACCAATAATTCTTCAGTCGGTTTAGTGACTGTTCTCTTTGTGATTCATGTTTCTCTCTCTTCTTCAGTCGGTGGAGTGGCTGGGCGAGCTCCTGGACGCTCTGCTCAAGACTCATGTCCGACTGGGAGACGATTCTCAGGAGACCAGGACCATGCTGGACAAACACCGCAAGTTTGTGGACGTGGCTCAGGTGAGGCTTTCAAACACCGTGTGCAAAAAATTGTAAAACAATGACAAATAATTTCTTAGAGCCTTGATGCCTCTATTTGGACGCCTTTGCATTTGAGTTTAGACGCCCCCGACGCCCGTCTTTGACGCCGTGGACGAACGGGAGAAAAATACTTGATGCGCGTCCGTTGCCCTGGAAACAAGAGCCCGGTCCCGGTCTTTTCCCGAAACAATGTCAGACCAGACTGAGAGACTTTAGTGTTTTTATGACATAAAACATCAGAGGAGGAGATCGACTCGACGACTGGGGCGTATATATATTTATACTCCACTAATGACACTGGATCAGTCCCGGTCTAGTCCCGGTCTAGTCTAGTCCCGGTCTAGTCCCGGTCTAGTCCCGGTCTACTCCTTGTTTAGTCCTGGTTTAGTCCTGGTCCGGTCCTGGTTTAGTCCTGGTTTAGTCCTGGTTTAGTCCTGGTCCGGTCCTGGTGTAGTCCTCGCGATCGGCTCGGTGATTGTGGTGTATATATTTATTTTCTGCTCATGTTTGTGGTTCTTGTTCTGGTTCTCGGGTTTTTCTTCCTGATAATAACGTCGCTGCGTCTCTGGATACTCGTCCCTGATTGGTCGACGCGCCGCGTCTGTTTCGAAAAGTTCAGCATTTTCAACTTCTTGACGCGGACGCCTTGGACGCGCGTCTAGAGCGTTGACGCGAAAACGCTCAAGATGCACCGCGTTAACGCCAGATTCGCGCCGCGCTGACGCCAAAGATGCGCCGCAAAAATGCAAGACGCTTTAGTCGCGTATCAAAAAAATTTGTGCATTTGCAGACTGAAATTTTTACTTGTGGAAAATATTTACACACACGGGAGAAAAATATGAATAAATGTGTAGATTGATATTTGCATGAACAAAGTGACATCTGCATCCATTATGACAGATACAACCACAATTCAGCGACTGCAACTTCTCAAATGTGTCCCAGCAGGTTCAAATCTGCGCGCCTTGACTTTTGCAACACATTTTGCCATGTGCATGTGGCAAAACTGATCTGCACTTGTAGAGAGCTGGGGGGAGGAAGGGGGAGGGGAAGGAGGAGGGGTTGACCAGACAGAAAGCGGGAAGATTGTAACAAATCACCTGTTCTCGACAAGAGAAAAGCTACAACGCAAAATTAAGGTCGCGGGAGGATCCATTCATATCAGCGGGGGTGAAACAAAGACACGCAAAAAAGGAAATGCTGTTGGCCTATCCGGCTTTTTATTGGCATTGCCGGATGGTATAACAGCTGCAGGCGTGGAGAAACTAGCAGGTCTCCAGGATGATCGGGTTCTGGGCTGAGACCTTTTTAGTTCTTCTGCCCACCTCTGATCTCTGCGTTGGAGGCAAGCGGCAACTACCTCGTCAAAATGTTGCAGCTTAGAGTCCACAAGATGAAGAATCCGTCATTTGTTTTTCAAAATAAAACCAAAAATAACAAAAAGAAAAAACTACTAAATTTGTCTCCAAAACCAAAATGAAAAAAAAAAGAATAACGGCCAAAATTTCCCGTTTAAACTGCGATGCCGTACTTTTGCATCGCATACGACTGAACCAGGACTAAAACAGGACTAAAACAGATCTAAACTGGTCTGGTTCTGGTCTTGTCCCGGTCTCAGTCCTGGTCTGGTCCCCGGTCCCGGTCCCCAGAGAGCAAAAAGTAACTGCGGCGGAGGTACCCAGAGATTCGCCGTGGGTCAGCAGAACGGATCCACAACAGAGTTCACTTGTACATCGCGACAGATCCCCAACTAATCCACCGCGCTGATCCGCTGCGTATCTCACGGATCCGCCCAGGGCACGTTTTGGATCTCTGGTTCAGTCGTATGCGGTGCAAAAGTACGACATCGCAGCAAATAAGTATCCTAACAAGTCGTAGAGTTGTACAGAGGCAGGAGTCTCTGGATTCTGAGGCAGGAGAAGTTTATTCTTCAGTCGGGGACCCGGTGAACTTGAATCCTCAACGTTGAGCGTTACTATCGAATATTCAAGCCTGACTCTGCTTCCACACAAGGAGGTTTAAATTGAAGCTAAGAAGGACAGTGTGGAGAGAAGTTGGCTGAGATAAAACGAGAAGAGCACAGTGCACCAAGGAAACTGATAATGTTAAAGAAAGACCAATTCTGTAATAGTTGAACGGAGGTGTCCTTGCTGAGGCTACCGTGCAACTTTATATATTTAAAAATGGTTGACTGGAATGATCTTACGTTGTTGTCATTGTGTTATTGTTGTTTATTGTTATTGTAATATTAATCTCCGTCTCTCCGTGCCCTCCCCTCAGAGCACGTACGACTACGGGCGGCAGCTGCTGCAGGCGACGGTGGTGCTGTGTCAGTCTCTGCGCTGTACCACACGCTCCTCGGGGGACACGCTGCCCAGACTCAACCGCGTCTGGAAACAGTTCAGCGTGAGCGCGGACCAGAGGCAGGCCAGGCTGGAGCTGGCCCTGGACTTCCACACCGCAGCAGAGAGGGTCAGACACACGATAAGATTTTCCCGGAGTCATGTGGGTCAGAGTCCTGCACCCGGTCAGGTTCCCGTAAATAGATGCTGAAACGGGCGGGTCACGTGAATCAAATCAGCGACAAACGGGAGAAAAATACTTGACGTGTGTCCAGGTCGTCTGTTGCCCTGGAAACAAGAGACATTTCCCAACTTTTCCCCGAACGATGGACCAGACTGAGAGAGACTTTAGTGTTTTTAGCTGCACTCCTGGTTTAGTCGTGGTTTAGTCCTGATTTAGTCCTGATTTAATCCTGGATCTGGTTTAGTCCTGGTTCAGTCCTGGTTTAGTCCTGGTTTAGTCCAGGTTTAGTCCTGGTCCAGTCCTGGTCCAGTCCAGGTTCAGTCCTGGTTTAGTCCTGGTTCAGTCCAGGTTCAGTCCAGGTTCAGTCCAGGTTCAGTCCAGGTTCAGTCCAGGTTCAGTCCTGGTTCAGTCCTGGTTTAGTCCTGGTTTAGTCCTGTTTAGTCCTGGTTTAGTCTTGGTTTATTTCTGTTGTAGTCCTGGTTTAGTCCTGGTTTTATTCCTGGTCCAGTCCTGGTCCAGTCCTGTTATAGTTCTGTTATAGTTCTGTGGTAGTTCTGTTGTAGTCCTATTTTAGTTCTGTTGTAGTCCTGGTTTAGTCCTGTTTAGTCCTGGTTTAGTCCTGTTTAGTCCTGGTTTAGTCTTGGTTTATTTCTGTTGTAGTCCTGGTTTAGTCCTGGTTTAGTCCTGGTTTTATTCCTGGTTCAGTCCTGTTTCAGTCCTGTTGTAGTCCTGGTTTAGACCTGTTGTAGTCCTGGTTTAGACCTGGTTAAGTCTTGGTTAAGTCCTGGTCCAGTCCTGGTGTAGTCCTGGCAATCGGCTCGGCGGTTGCGGCATGTATATATCATCCACTAATGACACGGCGCAGGTTCAGTCCTGGTTTAGTCCTGGTTCAGTCCTGGTTTAGTTCTAGACTACTGGGCTGTTGGACTAATGGGTTGACCCCGATTTATCACGGGCACAGGCTGGTAATGGTTGGCACGTTACCATATTATTGATGAAGTCACAGGTTACCGGGCGGGACCGGGTCTCCAGAAATGGACCCGTGCAGGACTCTGATGTGGGATGGTCTTTCTGGGTTTTGCTTTCATTCACACATTTGAGTAACTCTTTATTATTTGTCTGTCTGCATCTCCAAACCTCAAAATGCTCTTGTTGAACAGTTTGTTTTCTTTTCTCTCAGCCTAAATCTGCAGGGTTTGTGTGTTGAACATGTGTGAATGAAACAAAACGGAAGCACACATTTTTAATATCTGTGTGTGTGTGTGTTTTGTGTGTGTGTGTGTGTGTGTGTGTGTCCAGGTGCTGCAGGAGGTGTGTGTGGACGCGGCCGCTCTCGATGACGTGGATTCTTCGGGGAAAGCTCTCCTGGACAGACTCACTTTGCCGGTCATCTTCCCCGACGGGTAAACTCCACAAACTTTACCGTGTCCAGAGATTTTAATTTTTTATTGTGCTCAGTTTCTATAATTTGATAATGTCATAGGAATTCACAATTATTAAAAATCTAAATATTAAATTATAGTCCTTTAAAGGCTAGCTCAGACTGCACCTAGTGATTAATTAGGATGCCCTGAATGCTTAAGGCAGACGTGTCAAACTCAGGCCCGGGGCCAAATTTGGCCCGCGATATAATTATATTTGGCCCATGAGATCTTATCAAATCTGTATTAGAGCTGCCCGCCGCTCACAGATAGACTATAAAGACATTATTTATTTCACAAGTTTCTCTCTCACTCTGCTGCTCAATTTCCGTTTTGGGCTGAATATTTCACTATTTGCAGCAGGACAGAGGCTTTTTCTGCAGGAGACATGCGCAGTAGAGCCAAGTGACAGTGGTACAGCAGTAATAGTAGTACTAGATACTGACACACAAGACTAGAACCTCCCGTGGCTGTCAGTGTGAACATAAACATTTAATATAGAAGTCGCACCGGCGAATAAGTCACAGGAAACACCCAAACCATGAAAAAAAGTGACACTTCGGCTATGTTCAGACTGCCTGAAGTGACCCAAATTCGATTTTTTGGCCCCTATGTTCCTGTATCTGATCTTTTAATGACAGTCTGAACCACACAGATCAGATTTTTTCAAATGTGACCCAGGACACTTGGATATGTGCTCCTGAAACCGATACATATCTGATCTTTTGACATGTGACTTCAGTCTGAACGGTCAAAGTGCATTCATCCACCTACACGTTATCAACAAGACACAAACGTCACTATTCTGCGCTGAAGTCGGCGAAAATTGTTAATGAACTCCATGTCACTGAAGTGAAGCACATCAACACTCACCACTCTTGGCTCCGTCTCCACATCCACACGTTCCTTTCAACGGACTGAACCACAAAACACCACGACCAAAAACCTCGTCCTTCTCCTTCTCAATCTCCTCCTTAAAACAAGTAAGTTGTTCATGTTCTGGCTCCGGTACGAGAGGAACTTTAAAATCTCCAGGTGCTCGATGCTGCGTCCATGTTTGGACAACTTCCGTAAACACAGAGACGCTCGCTGCGGTTGACGTCGTCGTGTCTCCAGTGTCACATGTGGGACACTTTTGGGCCGTTTAATGTTCACACTGGAGTCACATACAAGTCACATTTAATTGGAAATGTGAACGACCTCGAAAAAACATCGGATTTCACAAAAAAATCGGAACTGAGCGTTAAGCCAGCATTCTGAACGTAGACTTATAGTCTGAAAAATACGGTAATACCCAGGATACTGATACTCATTGAAATCACAATATATTTCACTTTTGCTTCCATCTGCCTCTATTTTGAAATTTAGAATGTTTTTGTTTGTAATTTTATAAAGGGTTTACGTGTGTGTTTCATGTTTTGTCGTCCAGGAGCGAGCACTTCTTCGGCAGCCCCAGTGACACGGCGGTGGCGGCTGAAGGCGTCAGAGAGCGCCTCCTGCTGGTGGAGGAGCGGCGGTTACAACTGCAGGCGGCGGGCATCGGGTACCACGACGAAGAGGAGGAGGAGGAGGAGGAGGAAGGGGAGGGCCGCGAAGGGGAAGGGGCGGGGCTTCTGAAGAGACAGGACTCTAAACTGGACGTGATCGGGGAGGAGCTGAACGAGAGAGACGAAGGAGAAGAGGAGGAAGAGGAGGAGGAGGACGGGGAGCTGCACAGAGACGAGCAGGACTGTTGAATATAATATAAAAAAATGAACTTTAACCGGGATTATGGAGATCTGGGGTCCACCGAGGCTACATCCAGGGGTTTCAGATTTTACAAAAAAAATTTATTGATGTTGCAGATGTTGCAATTTCATCCACATTTTTTTTTTTTTTTTTTAAATCAAGTTTCGGTGCACATGAACATTTGCAAACATCACAAAAACACAGAAATAAAAACCCGTCGTCACTTCACAGGCAGAAGAAACATCGACTAAAACTGGACTAAAATTGGACTAAAGCTGGACTAAAACAAGACTGAAACTGGACTAAAACTGGACTGAAGAAGGACTGAAACAGGACTAAATCCGGTTTAAATGAGGTCTAAACCAGGACTGAACCAGGACTAAAACAGGAGTAAATCAGGACTGGTCCTAGGAGGACTAAAACAGGACTGAACCAGGACGAAGACTGGACTAAACCAGGACTAAACCAGATCCATACCAGGAGTGATCCCAGGAGGACTAAATCAGGATTAAGTCAGGACTGAACCAGGACTGAACCAGGACTGAACCAGGACTGAACCAGGACTGAACCAGGACTGATCCAGGACTGATCCCAGGAGGACTAAATCAGGACTAAATCAGGACTGAACCAGGGCTAAAACAGGACTAAAACAGGATTGAACAGGTCTAAATCAGGTCTAAATGAGGTTTAAATGAGGTCTAAACCAGGACTGAACCAGGACTGAACCAGGACTGAACCAGGACTGAACCAGGACTAAAACAGGACTAAAACAGGTCTAAATGAGGTTTAAATGAGGTCTAATGAGGTCTAAACCAGGACTAAACCAGGACTAAACCAGGACTAATCCCAGGACTAAACCAGGACTAAACCAGGACTGATCCAGGACTGATCCCAGGAGGACTAAATCAGGACTAAAACAGGACAAAAACAGGATTGAACAGGACTAAATCAGGTCTAAATGAGGTTTAAATGAGGTCTAAACCAGGACTGAACCAGGACTGAATCAAGACTAAACCAGAACTAAAACAGGTCTAAATGAGGTTTAAATGAGGTCTAATGAGGTCTAAACCAGGTCTAAACCAGGTCTAAACCAGGACTAAACCAGGACTAAACCAGGACTAAACCAGGACTAAACCAGGACTAAACCAGGACTGAACCAAGACTAAAACAGGTCTAATGAGGTCTAAACCAGGACTAAACCAGGACTAAACCAGGACTAAACCAGGACTAAACCAGGACTGATTAGCCTGTCGGACAAATGAGCTGATCCCGATTTATCACGGGCACGGACAGGTAACAGTTGGAATATGACGGGTGCGGATTTAGCTTTGACATTATAATAATAATAATAATAATAATAACAACATAGGACCTTTTAATAATATTAGTTTTGGATGTAGCCCGCTGACCCCAGAGCCTCGTCATGACCCTGTGAGCTCAAAGCTACAGCCGGTTTGTGGTTCTAAACTGCAAAACCCTGCACTAAAAGACTCGACACTACATTTCCCATCAGCCATCTGGAGAAAAGCCTAACTCGAGCCTGGACTGTTACTGGACTTACGCGATGATTCTGCTTTGTAATACTTTCCTAAAGACTATTCCAACATTCCCTTTTCCCCCCATGTGCATGCCGCGTTACTGAAGCCGAAGGGAACAACGGAATTTTCAAATATGGAGGAGTCTTTTTTTTTTAAACTAAAGTCTGATGTTTTCGCCGGTGCTAATCTGAACCCTGTGTGTGCCTCTCTCCGTCTGCTTCTGGCCTTTAATTATTCCCTTGTGCTAATAAAAACATTTGGTGCCATTGACTCGGATGTGAATAATATTTAAGAGAAAATACAGTATTTTTTGGACTATAAGTCGCTCCGGACGTTAAGTCACACCAGCCAAAATATGAGCAATGAAGAAGGGAAAAAAATAAAACAACGTATATACAGTCAAGCCCAAAATTATTCACAAATTTTGACTTAAAGTTACTTTTATTCAACCAGCAAGTTTTTTTCTTGACTGGAAATGACACAGGCGTCTCCCAGAAGATAATAGATGATGTACAACAGGCATCATTGTGGAAAAAAATATTCCTCAGCTTTTATTTACATTTGAACAAAAAGTGGCATGTCCAGAATTATTCATACTCTTTTCGATAATCAATAAAAAAGCCTTTATTGGCTATCACAGTAATCATCTTCCTATAATTACTGACCAGTTTTTTTTGCACGTCTCCATTGGTATTTTGGCCCATTCATCTTTAACAACGAGCTCCAGAGCTTTCAGATTGGAGGGTCTCTTTGCCATCACCCTGATCTTTAGCTTCCTCCGCAGATTCACAAGTCAGGACTCTGGTTGGGCCACTGCAAAACAGTAATGTTGTTGTCCAATAACCAATTTCTTCACCACTTTTGCAAAAATAATAAAACAAAAAAACAACTGTTTTCTTCATTATTTGTCTTCAAAACCAAAATGCAAAAACGGATAATGATTTGTTTTTTCAGTTTTCGATTTTGTGTTTAAATGAAGAATGGAAAAAACAGATAACGACCGTTTCCCGTTTACGTGACTTCCGTGACTGCGATGCCGAACTTTTGCACCACATACGGACTGAACCAGGACTGATCCAGGTCCGGGATCAGAGCTGAACCAGAGCGGGACTGAGACCGAGACCAGGCCGGGACCAGACCGGAGGCTCAGAGCCCACGGCAGGGCCGGCGCTCAATGCTGAGGCTCAGACCCCGCAGAGGCTCAGAGTCAAACTCAGAGTCCGCTCTGGTTCCGCTGTGGTCTTGGTGTGGTCCCGGATCTGGCTCAGTCCTGATTCAGTTCAGCATCGCAGTCACTGAAGTCACGTAAATGGGAAATGGTCATCATCTGTTTTTTCCATTCTTCATTTAATCACAAAATCGATAACTTCATTATCTGTTTTTTTCATTTGGTTTTGGAGACAAATAATGAAGAAAACAGCTGTTTTTTCATTTTCTTATTTTTGATTTCATATTGAAAAACGAATGAACGAATGATACTCGGATTGTTTTGGGTCATTGTGCTGAAATGTCGTCTGATTATCTTCTGGGAGAAGCCTGTGTCATTTTCAATCAAGAAAAAACTTGCTGGTTGAATAAAAGTAACTTTAAGTCAAAATTGGACTCTATTAGTGCCAAGTGCATAACAATTTCCCTTAATTACACTCTCGTTTTAAATTTTATTATTACCAACCCAAACCTGGGATGTCCTAGTTTTTTATTTTGAAAATCTGGTCACCCTACAGACACGGTTTAGCTTTTAAGTGTGATGGGAAAAGTTTAACCAATTAGAACTTGCTAAATAACTAGTTATATCTGCACAGACAATGATAACAATCCAAACATACTCGAGTAGGGATGTAACAACCGAAATATCGTGATATTGTATCGTCAAAAGTCTCACAATATATCGAGTCACAAGTTCCTTTGCTTAAATGCTAAGTTTTACAGTTGCAGCATCTTATAAACGCCGGGAACTACATATCCCATGATTCATTTCAGCGCAAACAACATGAAGAAATTTGTTTTTGACTTGAATTCTTTAGATTACGACGGAAATAATTCACATCAAAGTATTTTAAAAGCAAAAAAAGTGTCTCATCTACAAATATATTAGCCTCTTTAAAATATCACAATTATTATCATACCGTGAGATGCATATCGTGATAATATCGTACCGCGGAACCTTCGTTTAACCCTCGTTGCGTTTGCGGCCGGACCATAATAACAACAGGAACTGAAGATGGCGACCTCTCTGCTTCGGATCGGGCGAGCTGCTTCTCTCAAGGTAAAAGCCTCAAAAGCGGATTAACGCGTCTTAACATGAACACATTTTTACGCAAAATAAAGACAAAAGTGCAGTGAAAGTAAAATAGTTAAAAATATAAATATTGTACGCATTTAAACGACAAAAAAAAGCGAATACCTCACGCAAATTTAAAGGACACACTTCCTGAACATAAGACGCTCCGAACGTTCAAACCACGTCTGGAAAGAGATTATTATTTTCATTTAATTTTTTATGTTAATTGCAGTTAAATTACACTGGTCTCAAATACAGCGTTCAAGTCAACGCAAAAACAAAAACAAAATAATTAATTCAAATGTCAGGACGTACGCGCAAAGGTTATTCTGACGTCACCACGTACTCGGTTAAAATCAAAATACTGCTTTTATCTCTTTTATTCTTTTATGTTTTTTTATGTGAAAACGTTTCTAGAATTATTGCGTTTGAGCATGTAATTTTTCTCTTTATAAAAGTTAATTTAATTTGATAAAATTTAATGTAGAAATAAATATAAGAGTTTAACCCTGGTGGCAAAAATATACACTGGAAAAGAATACCACAATATTTTTATGGTGAACGGATTTTTGTCCAACTTTTTTTATTTCAGTGTCTTCATTTACTTTTGCCCTAAACATACATACCAAATAATATATAATATTTTTGAATTTTAGCCCCTTAAATGCCATTTTTGACAGAAAAAGTATCAGATTACATGCTTGAAAAAAATGGAAAAAAATAGATTTTTTTTTTTTTCCTGTATCTTTCAAGTAATTTTAATTAGTTTGTGATGGGATTATCAGAGGCTGGGGGCTCCTCTAGAACAGCGATTCTTAACCATAACCTTATTACCTTATCCTTGGGGGCCTCACAATCAGTACAGTGTAATGTATTTAATATGAGATAGGGCCCCAGGTTACTTTATTCAGAAAAAGTCAGGCCCCGAGATTGAAAAGGTTAAGAAACCCTGCTCTAGAACACACCCAGATCATTTTAAGGTCAAACATCTACCTCTCTGTCCTTCAGTGTGGACTCATGTACAAAATGTCTTTCTATTGATATAAACTTGTAATGAAAGATACAAATCTAAAAAAAAATAAATAAATCAATCAAAAAGACACTGAAACAAACAAAATTTGAAAGGTTTTCAACACCAAAGAATGAAAAAACAAACATAAAATATAAATATACTGGCAAAGTTATGTCAGTGAAAAAGCCCTTTCGAATGGAAGTGAACGGGACAAAAATGTACCTAAGAATCACAGGTGTGAGTATTTTGATTCTAAGCTGTTCACTTAATGTGATCTTGAAAGAAAACACAGAAATTAAAAATACACCATAAAATACCCAAACTGGCCAATTCTATTTGGTTCTATTTCATGCAATTTAGCCAAAGTTATGCAAAAAAGAAAAGTTGAGATGTGCAAAAATGTAGGCAGGTGCAGGAGGGTTAAACTATTCTCTCCGTAAAGCATTTTTGTGCTGAAAAGAAATGTGTACATCATGTCCTGGGGCTGCGGATCATCTCTGATATATTTCTATTTTTTTAAGAACCAAATACTAGTCCATTTTAACAACTGTATTTCATTATTATTATTTTATTTTATTATGTCTTTATTATATTATTAACCACTACATCCACAAATGTATTATAAAATATATAACCATTTTAATTATTTAAATGGTGAATATGTCAAATTATTGCAAGTTTTGTTTCTCTTTACATGCAACAAAACTGTAGCGGTGTCAATATATCAAGTTTACATGTAGATCTGAGCAACAGAATTTAATATTTGGTTTTGTGTTCTTCTTCTTTTTTTTAATCATGTAATTTCTGTTTCTCTTTCAGTGTCTCCAGCTGGAGAGCCTTTGTGCTCTGAGGAGTCGTCCTGTGGCCAGACTCTGCACTGGGGCCAAAGAACCTGCCGAGGCCAAGAGTAAGACCCACAAACTTCAATAACTACTCTGTTCAAAAATATCATGTTTCCTGCACATAATCATATGACCGTTTGCCCTTTGTGTGTTAATTTTCTCTATTTCACCGTAAAAGTAATGATTTCATTATCATGTTTGGATCTCTGTCAAATTTAAATTGTGTTTTTTTTAATTCCCATTCCCCAACAGTGTGTTTAATCATGTTTAATCCCACCTCATGTTGAAACTGTCTGGTGCTAATTTGGCACAGCTGGAGCACCGCGACCCAGGATTTTTTAATATCACGAAGAATTCTTTTAAAAACACAAATATATTTTTCTCTTTTATAAGACACTTTTTGTATTTTCAATTTGCAAATTGTATTTTCTGCTAGACACAAGTGTTTTCTCAACATTAGATGGCAGCACTAGAAAAGCACAAAATGTAAAAAGAAACCCGCACCATAGCCATTTGTTAAGTTTTTATTTTTTTTATTATGATTATCATGTTCAGATATAACTAACTTATATTCTACACATCTCTGGTAATCACAGTAGTAACTTGAATACAGTAAATCTGTGTCTATCTCACTGCTTGTATTTTAATTTGATTTGAATAGAAACTGCAGCAGATTCAGTCACTTACATAAAAAAGTGGAGTACGACTCAAGTATTTTAAATGCGAGGTGCATCTTCCATTCTACTGTTGAGAATACACAGACTGTGGACTTATGTGTCTTAACACTTTATGACTGTTTCCTCACAGCAGAAGCTCCAGACGAGCGAGCAGCTCTCCTCTCCTACAAGACCTCCGTTGCCTTTCCAGTTAAACTCTTAGACCCTGGAGTTTACTCACAGCAGCCTTTAGTTGCAGCAGCAGAGTCTGTAGCTACATCCACAGCTAACCCTGAAATAATCACAGAACCTCAGACAGAAAGCCCCTCCCCAGAGCCTGTTGTTACAGCACCAGAGGTTAGCTCAGCTGAATCTACCTCAGAACCCACCGAACCTGCTCCAAGTGTAAATGTTGAGGCACCAGCAGAAACGCCGTCTCAGGACCAAGTCCTTGCAGCTCCAGAAGTTGCTGATTTGGCAGAGGCCAAAGTTACTCCATCAGAGACACCAGTGGAGGAGCTGGTTGATTCTGCTCCTGTCGCTGTAGCGGCTGAAGTCCCTGAGGTCAAAGCAGAAGAGTCCACTGCAGCTGCTGCAGCAGCACAAGCCCAAAGTGCTGAACCTGCTGAAGCAGAACCTGTGGTCAGTGCAAGTGCAGAAGAACTTGTTGATTCTGCTCCTGTGATTCCAGAAGCTCAAGAGCCGATCAGAGTTGAAACTACAGCTGAAACTACGGCCGAAACTACAGCTGCACCTACAGCTGCACCTACAGCTGAAACTACGTCTGAAACTACGTCTGAAACGACAGCCGAAACTACGTCTGAAACAACAGCCGAAACTACGGCTGAAGACACTCCAGTATTATCCACTACCTCAGAAAGCTCTGCCAAACCGGATTCATCTGAGTCCGCTGGAGCTCCGGTCGATGCATCCTCTTCGTCTTCCTCAAGTGATTCTGATTCCGACTCTGACTCGGATTCAGACTCAGAAGATGAGAAACCAGACGTCAAAACACAAGCCCCCAAAGTGAAAGAAGATGTGAAGGTGGACGAGGCCCCTAAAGAAGCTCCTGAGACTATTAAAATTGTTATTGATGTCGAAGATTTGGCGGATCCTGCCCCTGAGGTTCTGACCGCAGCTGAAGCTTCTGTTGAACCAGTGGCTGCTGCTACAGAACCACACGTCGCTGAAGACCCCATCAGTGAAGAGAAGGCGAGAAGCCCAAGTGAAGCTCCTCTCGAAGCGGCACCAGCTGAAGCCAGTGGAGATGTGGAAACCGCTCCAGAGGTTGTTGAAGAGGCCAAGTTAGTCCAGGAAGATGCAGCCCAAGCCCCAGAAGTTCTTGCAGCTGTGCAGGAAGTAGTGGAAAAGGCTCCCGAGGTGGTTGTACCGACTGAAGAACTTGTTGATACAGCTCCTGAGGTTGAACTAGCTGCTCCAGAAGTTGTAGCGGAAATAGTTGCTGAACCAAGTGAAGAAGTTGTTGAATTGGCTCAACCTGTCGTTCAGGAAGTCGTAGATCCAGCTCCAGCAGTTGCAGATTCAGCTCCAGAAGTTGTAGATCCAGCCCCAGAAGTTGTTGAATCGGCACAAGAGGTAGTCGAAACTCCCCCGGAAGTAGTAACGCATCACCCCAAGATGTTGCTCCAACGGAACCAGACGTAGTGGAAGCAACCCCAGAAACAACAGAACCCCCCGCAGAAGTTGCTGAATTGGCACCAGCACAGGAAGTAGTCGCCTCTGCCCAAGAAGTAGTTGAACCAGCACCGGACGTAGTTGCACCAACACCGGAAGTAGTCGCCTCTGCCCAGGAAGTTGTAGAACCTCTCGTGTCGGCCCCAGAAGAAGCTAAAGCACCCGTAGAAACCCCCGTAGAACCAATCGAACCAATCCCGGCCAGCGCTTCTGCGGAGGCCGGCGCGGAGGAGCTGGTGGACCCCGCTCCGGCTGTGGAGGCCAAAGCCGAGGAGGAGTTGGCTGCAGCCGAAGCGTCTGAGGGTACACACTTTAAACTCCCCCTCTTAAAGAAACAAAACAAAAACACGCTACCTCTTTTTACAGTTCCCTTCGCACGAAATGCCTCCCTCTGTGGGGCGTGGAGGTGTTAACCCATGTCACTCACGCTAGCTCATGCTACAGCCGCTTCACCGCTTTTACGGGACACTTTCACACCTGAAACGAAGCACTGGTTGGAGTTTAGTTGTAAATCCAGCTTGAAGGCGAAGGTAGTTAAAGTACAAGGGCATTGTAGTGCGTCATAAAATTTTCTGAACAGGGATGGGGCAAATTTTCGTGGCACAAGATCTCGCAAGATGAAATTAAGCTCTAGAAAAGCCGTACCGTATTTTTCGGACTATAGGACGCACTTAAAATCCTTAAATTTTCTCAAAAATCGACAGTGCGCCTTATGTATTAATTCTAGTTGTGCTTACTGACCTCAAACTGATTTTATGTGGTACACTGCGCTCAAAAATTGACTTTGGTAAACTATGAAGCCGCACAGCTTGATGGATTGACGGAGCATTATGACGACTGTTGTCAGGAGCCTCGCGGCATAAATTGTGTCTTTTAGTCGGACAGCATCAGCGCACAAGGAGTGAGCTATAGGAGGAGTGAGTTATAGTTTATGCAAATGAGTCATGAGGTTTTAAGTTTTGTTTCTGTAAAACGTTAACAAATGTGTCAAAGCTGCGTTAAACACATTATTACTCAATGTATATTTGAATCGTCCTCATAGGAAATAAGAAAACTTTACTTATAATTATAATATTAATTATTACCCACATTCACATTCATAATCCACATTCACCAAAGCAGGAAGGCAACGTCGCGAATTACGCCACGATCTGCCGATGGATTGTGAACGCCAGGGCTAAGGGATCAAAACTAAATATTTTATCGGAAGTGCCTTTCGTTTAGACGGTGACGGCATTTTTGGCGCCAAAAAGGCAAAAATCCAAAACCACCGTCCAGAGTGGAAAAGTTGAATTCGCTCCGCCATAGTGTTTCTGTCTACACTGCCCAAGATGAAAAACTCTGGTCAGATCTGCTCAGGTCATGTACACGTTTACGTCACGAACATACAGTACACAGAAACAAACATGTGGGATCATTTCCATATGTTGCACCTTCAAACACCACCTAACTACCTGGCGTTCATACCCAATCAAATTCCACACGCTTCCACGTCACCGAATGCGCGCAGATTTCCTCCCGAAATAAAATTCCTCGTCTAAATAAAAAGTGAAGACGCAACGCCACTTTTGCATCCTCTGTTGAGACTAGAGGTCTGCGTGGGACAGAATTTTCAGTCCCGTTTCCGCCCGCTCGCGCAAAAAATTGCAATTTTCAGTCCTGCTCCCGCCCACGAGTCCTGCAGGATGGGAACGTTTGCTTTCTTAAGCTCACGGAGAAGCGGAAAGAAATTGGGCTGAGTATGGGAGGAGGCGCAGGGGGTGGTCCGGCAGCATGGTTCAGTCCTGGTTAAATCCTGTTATATTCCTGTTTTAGTCCTGGTTTTAGACCTGTTTTTAGTCCTGGTTTTAGACCTGTTTTTAGTCCTGGTTTAGACCTGGCGACGTACAGGAAGAGGGTCTGTCCACTCGGCGTACGTGACGGGAGACGTTCTGCTGCTTAAAATGTTTTTATTAATGCAAAATAAAATATCCAGCACAAATTATGCATGATATACTTACATTTATCCTTTAAATATTGTACTTTACTCTCATATTTAGTTTGCGGGACTGCAGTTTATCATCCCGCCCGCCCGCTTCCGAGTTGTGCAGTCCCATTATCGCCCGAGCTTTCAAAATGTGTCCCACGCCACACCGTTTTGCATCGGCTCCCGCGGGTTTGCAGGGCTCTAGTTCAGATCATCATCAGCCTCAGATTTTGTCAGAGTTACTATCGCAAACTGAGCCCAAAGAAAGTCGTCATCCACATGTTTCCAAACGTTTTCCGGTTTTGAATAGAGCCCGTTGTTACTTCAAGCACAAAACGGCTTCAGGTGTGAAACTGTCCCTGGATCATTCCCATGTTTAACCCTTGAGTTTAACCTGCATGACGTGGGCTTGTGTCTTCATCCGCCATCGCTGCCGCTGGTTTGTGCTGCTTCTCCAGATTTGCTTTAGATTTGGCTGCTCTGATCATCTGGCTTAAACGCTTCTTTGCATCCCGCCTTGTTTGCTTTTGGCTTTTTTTTGGTTGTTGTTGCATAAATGTCCATTGTTTTAAACCCTCGCTTCGCCTCGCAGTTGCCAAATTCACCCTTATCTGGTTAAAAGTTGGTCGTCTCTGCATCACTTGGGCTCACGCGATTCAAATTCAGGTTTCCAGAAGATAAAAATGACTAAAACATACAATATCTACAGGAAATATCTATAATTTAACCGTATTATTTCCTTTGTGTTTTAAGTATATTTGCATTTTTTATGCTTGTATAATTGATTTTTGTGTGTCGCCCTATATTTCGGATGTTTTGTTTGTATAATTTTGACATCCCTACTTATCCCCTGCCTTGGTATCTAAAAAAATCAAATAAAATCATGACACTTTCATGTAGTCACCAGCAGAGGGAGTCCTTGAACAAGAAAAGGGCAATGTAACGTGATTTTATGATGACTAATGACAATATAAACCGATATTAATGCTTTATTTGCTACTGGTGAATTATTTTTGGGGTAATTTTGATGATCTAATAATAAATTAATCAAATTTACATATTTCTAATATAAAATCCAAAGTATATTTTCAAAGCGATGTAGGATTATTATTAATAATTTGACCTAATTGTTTATATTTACAAATTTAAAAAAAACAACAAAATTTTCTGATCTGTTATAGTACTGTTTTCTCGTTGAAAACTTACCCGGAGGTTTTTTGTTTTTTTTTTTTACACATTTCTGTCAAACACAAAACACTCTGCTCCACCTTGTGATGTCATGTGGTGATACAGGACGTGCTCCACTTTGTTTTTAAACTCCATGCATCTGCACAGGGTTCTCACTGTCATGGAAATCCTGGAAAACTCATGGAATTTTAGTATCTTTTTCACTCAACTACAGCGTTCTGTTAAAGTCCAGTGCGGTTTATTTGTGAAAAAAGTTCGAAAATAGACCATTCTATGAGAAAATACGGCAATTCGATATATTGTGACAGAGAGTTTTGATGATACGGTTATTGTTACATCCCTAATTATTACAATTTATATTTTTACTCTTCTTTGTTATTATAATATATTGTGATGTGTGAGCTACTGTGTCCAAGTCATTTCACTTCTGAATCAGTAAAGTTGAGTTCATTAGAGATTGTCGATTCTAGGGCTAAAATCATCCAAATCATCCCACTCTTTTTCACTGACGAAATTTCAAAACTTTTCCATGACTTTTTCATGACCTAAAGTGAATTTTCCATGACTTTACGGCTCCTACGTGTGAAGAATTGATCAGACTTTTAGGGCTAAATATGAAATGTTAACCCCTTTCCCCTCACCTTATGGTTTGGGATTATAGTTTTTAACATTCAAAATCCTGTCAGCGCATTTATTGTCGTGTCTTTTAAACAAAAGGCGCAGACATTTAGAAATAATCATAATAGCCAGGGCTGTATATCATTAAGAAGTTGCCGATACGATATATAACTCGATACAGTGCACTTTTAATTCGATTCGATACATTTCAAAACGATTCGATACGGTTCAATTAAAAAAATAAAGGCTAAATCATGGCTGTGACACTAAAAGTCTTTGTTAAACCACTTTTTGCGTAAAGTTCAAATGAAACACAAACATTTTAATTAATCATCGAAACTGTGAAAAAGTCAAATGTGTCACAAAAACAAGTTTCCTTCCTCTGAACAGGCAACAGAACTGTAGCTGTAACAAAATAAATTAGTAAAATACACCAAAAAATATATATCGATACTGTATCATCACATTGAATGATACGATATTTCGATATTTTTGCACACCCCTAATAATAGCCTAATGAGAACTTAACCCTCACGCTCTCCTCAGGGCCACATTGACCCGAAGAAAGATTTTTTTTCCTTCCCGCTCTCTTGGGGTGGGTCAATCAGACACAAACATTTATTTTCTCGCCTAATGGCAGCTTATAAACATCGGGAACTACATATCCCATGATTCATTTCAGCGCAAACAACATGAAGAGAGATGTTTTTCACTTGAATTCTTGGGATTATGACGGAAATAATTCACACCAAAATCTTCTCAAGGTATTTTCAAAGCAACAAAAGTGTCCCATCTACAATTACATCAGCCTCTTCAGAATATCGCAATAAATATCGTACCGAGAGATTTAGATATCATTACATCCTTAGTAATAATAACAATAACTGAAGGTAAAAGGAGTTGTTAACTCAAAAACTACCACTACATGACATCACAAGGTGGAGCAGAGCATTTTGGGTTAAGGTGATAAAGGTTAAAGGTTTGTTTTTGACGCGGTAACAACATTATAACACGATTTAACGCTCTCAAGAGTCAATTTTTGTGTGATATAGGACAATTTACTTATGATTTCTCTTAATTATAAATCTCAAATTTCAGCAAAAACCTGAATTTGAACGAACGTAAGCCCAAGTTCTCCATAAAATTCGACCCGCACCGACAATATCTTTCATTTTAAAGTCATTTCCCTATTGGCTTCATTGTTTTTATAAGCTGTTTTATCTATAACATTTGACGCTTGCTTTGAATTCCAGGATTTTGTAAAGTATATAAACATCTGTGCCATGTAATGTTAACGTTAAAGCTAATGTTAAAAGTGCACACGTTGCAGTGAAGCCGGG